GCAGCTAACTGCTGATCAAAGTCTTCACCAGAGGGCAGGAGGACAGCACATAGAGAAAAAAATATGTAATGATTCGCTTGGTCTGATTATCATTAGTACATACTACGGATATATGTATCTCCTGACTGAGCACGACTCCACAGTCTTGCAGGGCACTTTTGAACTGGTAAGTTTGGTGCTTCAAGTATGAGCAGCAGTTTACTGACTGTGGGACTGAATGTTAGATGTGTCTACATTGGAAAAGCAATTTTTTTAGACTCAAAAACTCAAGCTTCAATTGTAGATGTGCTATGTATCACACCTGTTGTGAAACTGAGATCTGTGTGAAAGTCTGAGAAATCTCTTGGGAAGGAGATGTGCGGCGCCCGCCGCTGATTGGGCTAGTCTATCTTATCATATTATTACCAGCAATAGTTTGATTTTATTACTGACTTTGTTGCCCTGCTGTAGATGTTCCTCAATACCACCCTCAAGATGGAAGGTGACGGACCGACGGGATGTATGGTAATCCCTCAGTATGTCGAGATTCAATATAAGCTGCAGGAGAAGGTGAACAAGTTAAGTACTACGTATGCTGTTTATCCAATGGTAGCAAAGATGCTAGCAAAGACCCAGGAGTATCTCGACAAGGCGCTTGCGTGCAAGACTTTAGTCATGGCAACTGTTCTTCACCCGCTATTTTGCCTCAAGTTTTTCACCAAATGGTTTGGTGGAAAGTTTGGAGAAATTCCGATGAAGATTGAATTGACTTTGCGTTGAATCTACTCAGAATACAAACTAGAATCACCTCGAATTGCAGTGGACTCTTCTCAAGACAATTCTCACCCTACTAAAACAAATACCTCTAGCACCCAGTCCAAGATGTTTCATGATGACTCCTCAGGTGAGGATGAAGAAGCGGACACAATGGATACATCTCTGGAGAACTATCTGCGAATGTCCGACAAGATGCGTCAGATGGATTATGACTTAGAAGATCCTAAGTTTGCTCTTAAATGGTGGTTGGTGTGTGTAGAACTGTTAAACTCTAAGATGTCTATTATCACTATGTAGTGCTGACATTGTTGTTTGTTTTTGTTTTTCAGAATCATGAAAAAGATTATAAGGTACTTGCCATTATGGCCCATGACTACCTCGCGGCAACAGGTTCTTCATGTGCTGCTGAACAATTTTTTTCCTGCGCTGCTGACGTCTGTGCCAGCGATCGCGGTAGTTTACTTTCACAAACCGTTGAGGCATTGGTATCTAGTCGCTTATGGTTACGAGAAGGGGTGGATTTAGGAGTAGATTTTGCTGAACTTGCTGCTGTTCTCAAAGCTTTTGGCGTGGCCCTAGATTAAAACTATATTACATTGATATTTTGTTTACAACATGGCGTTTCCACTTAAATTTTAAATTTTCCAATCTGTTTTCTTTTTGTCATATTATTGGCTGTGTTGCTGTGTTGCGTTGCGGTTGTGTTGCACAAAAGGTGTTGCGCAACAGGGTGGCCAATATTGTGTTGCAGTTTTTTTCCGTATTGCATTGCCCTTGCCGTGAGAATGCTGCTTGTGACGGCGCACCACTTCAAAAAAAGTGCCTGCTGCGGCGCAAAGAGGCGCTGGCCCAGGGTTGCCTGAACCACCCAAAGTAATTGGTATGATTTGGGGGCCAAAATCTTTCTTTGTTACCAAAAAAATTGGACAAAAAATGCCTGTTTAGCATCTTGACTTAGAGATGTGACCAGTGTGGTTTAAAGAATCTGTATGTTTCAGGAATACAATATGACAACAGTTAAGTAATTGTGCCATGGGCCACTTGTTTGATATTATATATTGGAAAGATCCTTGCTGTCTTTGCTTTCAACTACAGAAGGCACAACTGGCAAGTGAGCGCCAAAAAACACACCAAAAACATGTTCTTTTATGAAACCGGCTTTCCAATGCTGGCATCCTTTCTTCACAGAACTCCTCAGTGCCAAACTTGGACTCATTGTGAGTTGTCGAACATTTTTTTACTCCTTCCAAAAACCTTGGTTCAGAACCCAACAGATGTCCCAGGAGAAGCTGGCTGTGTAGTCATACCACAAAATGTCAGACATACCCTTACAATGATGTTTAGCCCCATGTATATCTCTGACGTAGAGGAGACACACAAGTTAGAGCATAAGAGAGTGATGAGGTCATCTACTTCTTAGTAGTCATTCCATACATTCATTTATTTGGAGCAAAAAAAGGAAAACACAAAATTTTGTGAATTGTGCAAATATCACCTTTTGGAATGTTACCAACATAGTGTATGGAAATGGAGGGATTTTTTAAGATTTTTGATGTTACCAACAAACTTGGTTTGAAAATTGACCAACCCCAAGATTTTTGGGTAAGAAAATTTCGAGAATCAGGCTTTCAAGTTGCTAGGTTCAGAGGGAGCTTTCTGGGGTCCTATCCTAAGTAAGGCTCTGACCTGTTAGGCCCAAATTCTTTTGAAGGTGGTCAAAGCTAGCTCTATCTGCATAGGGTTAGCCATGGCCAAACCTGGAAAACATGGCTGGCCCAAATTTTACCCCAGCCAAAAGCCTGGTTGTCCTCCCATGCTTCGACATTAGAAGGTAGACCTGGTATCCCAAGATAGACACTTGCCTGGGGGAAGAAACAAGTCCTTTTAAAGCTTGGTAAATATCAATCAGAAGAGAATTAAGCTTTTCAACACATGTCCATCAACTTCCAATGGTGAAAACCTACCTAATTTTGTATCTGCAAGTCTTATCCTCAAGCCAAAGCCAACACTATACGGGTTTGGCTAGGGTTGGCTTGGCTAGCCTTGGGTGTGGTTCAGAGCCTCAATCCTCACTTCAAATAGTGCTTTGAAAAGTTGGATTATTCGAACAATTGAAGCTTGATTATTTATTCTGCATATATTTGAAGGTTCATTGTTGATCCTGGTATTTCTTGTCCAATGTCTTTGTCATTTCAAGAGAGGTAACAGAACCCTTACTCAACAACACTAAACTTCTTGGACTCCAATGGCAACTGACATGCCTTTTCTATTGTAGCTCCACAAATTTTGAACAGTGCTGGATTTGAAATAGTGGCCATGTGCTAGGTCTGCACGCTGGACACAATTCATGTCAGACTGCCTCACCACTAGCACCCCAGGCAAACATGTGACACTTCACCCATAGTCTTGCACAGCCACTGACCCAGGGCCAAGCTGAATCTACAGTGTCACCTGTTTGCCAGGGGCACTAGGCAAATGATACTTACAACAGAATCCGGTCTTGCATTTCTCAAAAGTTTTGAACCCCAAACCCAACCATAGTTGTAGGTAACTTGTTATTTACCAATTGGAATATTGGGAACTTCAGTACTTCAAGTAAACTGATTTGATGTTTGGGTCACATCATTTTTGTTCTTGAAAGCTGGTAAAATGACATCATCCTGTTTACCTTTGATCCAATTATCATTTTCTTTCTTGTTACCTATTTCTGTCTAGATTTCCAATCTATCATCATCATCAAGTTATTCAAGCTCAGACAATTCATTTTGAAGAATGAAATATCATTCTTCTATCCATATACTTCATCATCATATTTTACTCTTCAATAACAGTTCTCATTCAATTTGTCATTTATTCGATTCTCATTGTCCTAATCAACTCACCTGTCCCCTTTTTTGTTATAATAGCAACTATGAGGGCACACCCAAACCAGTTCAATTGCCAAATTACTTAAATTTCTCTATCCTGTGGTTGACCAAGTGACCTAACCTCCACAATAATATCATGTTTATCACCCCCAACCAAGACCCCAGTAGTTAGTCAAGTCTTAGCCTTGGAAAGTCTCAAATTTCATAAAAAAATTGACCAAGTATTGTGTTTGTAACACAAAGTGAAATATATCTTATGATTTCTACAACTTCAAGCAGTGGAACAAGTGATATCCCTATGTAATGGTCTGAACACAGCCTCATTGTGGTTTTAAAACATATCCAAACAATAGTGATACACAATACAGTTGTCTCTGACATAACCCATACCCAAAAAATGTCGCCCAAAAGTATGGGTTTTGCTAGAGTATAGGTTACCTCAATCTCTTTCAAAAGCCATGATTATATATTTGCAGAGAAAGTATGGGTTATGACAAAGATTTTGCAGGAAGCATAATGTAATGGAGTTTGTGATGTGCGGTGTGTGAAATTGAAATAAGGTTAAATAAGGTTACAATCAAATTGATCACTTGAGTTTATCTGTAAATCTTTATTTTTGAAGTTTTTCAAGCCTCCCTCGGTCATTTTTTTTTTCAAATGACCCCTTAATTATGGGTTATGGGGAACTACAAAGTTATGGGTTATGTACCCACTTTTCCTGCAATTTTTCTGCAGATGGCCAAATTTTTATGGGTTTTGATGGAGTACATATGGCTTACAGCACAGATGGGTTAGTGTCAGAGACGACTGTAGGGGCTCTCAAACCTGACCCGGTTTTCAAAAACCCAGTTGACCCAGTTGACTTTTTGGCAGTAAATTTGTATATAAATTTGACATTTATTGACAGCTCCCAGCCGAAAAGTCAACTGGGTCAACTGGGTTTTTTGAAACCGGGTCAGGTTTGAGAGCCCCTTGTATACCGAGGTTCCAACTTCTTGCCAATGAACATTTACAGTGCATGCTGCATCACAGTTATTCTTAAAAATTTATCCCAGATTTTTTTTGCTTTCTCCTGCTTTCCTTGCTGATAAACCCCACTTTACTTTGCAGATAATGATGTTCATTGATCAGGTTGACATTGTTTTACAATTCAAAGGCTGATGAGTCGTCTGTCAATGTCATGGCACCGGTAGCCCTGTAGTGTCACTGGCGTGATTTGCTGGAGATCAGTGTTGACGCAGCAGGTGTCATGTCCATGACAGAGGTTTTGGGTACGTTTCGTGTGTGTGAAAGTCATCCCACCTCAAACTCGTCATCCGCTCAAAATTTCCAAATCCAACCCTCAGGTAACTCTTCAAGACATCCTCTTCTCTCACCATGGTACGCGCAGTCAAGGGCGTCCTGTTGACTTGGTCAGTTTTATTCTCGATCATCATCAAATCCGAGCGCAACAAATGAGCACACAATTCAATTTGGTACGGACAATGAATAACGATTACTCACAACCTGCTTTGGAATCCCCAGCGATCCTGCTGTTAAGCAGTTGATCCTCAGTCTGAACGACAAGCCTGCCAATTCGATATCTACCAATGGACTCGTTCCACCCTTCATTGTTCAAGATCTTGACGATACTCATCTCTTGGTGACTCAAGATTGCATAGGACCTCTACGCGCTGAAATAGAGACCGAAGTGAGGATTGTCTGGCTCTACACTTCAACGACATACACCTTGTATGGTTAGCTCACCGATGTTCATCCGACATTTGATTTCACATTAGCTCGAGAAGAACACATTCACTTTGGATGTCATGTGAACTTGACCTCGTCAGATTTCAGCGTGCTGTGTCTTTGAATTTAACTCGGTGTCGACCATGTCAGGGAATGGAGCTGAATCAAAGGGCTATCTACCCGACGTGAGGATCTGACGTCCAAGCCGACTTTCCAATTGTTACCTTATTGATGTATGCTTAAAAACGAGGCACCCAAAAACAGTTGTGTACAAAAGCTTCATTGTGAATATGTGCAACAAGTCTTCAACTCCACACTGTTTGACCTGATTCAGTTTGTACATCTTCACTATGCCAATGTACACAATCAGTCAGGGGACATCAGAACATCATACATATGAGGTAATTTGAATCTATAAACCACAATTATGGAGTGTTTACAATGGGACAGCCAGCTTTTGGTCGAAAGTTACCCCTCATTGTGTCACCTAATCTGATTGATGAGAGCTTAACCCATTATCCCTCTAATAAGCCAGCTTTATGAATTCTGAATTATTGAAAGTCTTCATCTATTTTCTTCCCCCTGGTCCTCACACTACTTCATACAGCTGAACTAGCCAAAGATTCACCCTCTGTGCCATGTTATCATCATCTCATTTTCTACAGATACATTTAACAGCAAGGGCAATCACCCATACTTGACCAAATGTAACTGAGGATATGTATCCTTCGACATTTTCCGACCAAGTTCAAGTGGTGGTATAACCTCTGATAAGCCTCTTTGAGCTTGACTCAGTTTGGCATATAAGAGTCAAGTTATGAATGGGAAATGAAAATTTCTTTCTTGTAACATATCTGAAACCAACATTCCCAATGAAAAGATCCTTTTAAAATCAGAAGTCTGATTGAATATTGCACGTTTCAGTGTTTTTATTATTCCTCAAGAAGATGTGATCAGTGTCAAAGATGAAGTGGCGATGTGAGTTGAACTGTAGTTTAAATTGAGACAGTTAAGTTAATGTAGTTTATATTTTTTCTTCAGTTTGATAAATTTTCGTTACAGCATGGTCAACAGTTTTGATTCTTGGATACTTCCTTCTGCTTCACCACCTGGCCAACAGTCATCCCGAATCAAGGGTTCGTAAGTCACTTTTATTTTCATCTTGATTAGATTGGTGTAGGTCGTGATGCTGATTTGCTTTATCATATCATGTGTCGTTCTCACGTCTTTGTTCGATTCAGCCTAAATCATCGCATACATGATGATCCGGCCTATCACTCTTAGGCTTGGATCTCGAGGAGCAATCGGAACCACTCCTTGGCGGCAAAGCCCACGAATCTCTTTACCGTCTTCTAGTCTCAGGGGCGTTCTGTCATCTTCGAACCACGATTATTCATATCTTCCATCAGCTTTGGGACCGAGGGCTTTTGACTTCAGGCCGGCATCTTCAAAATCATCTTCAAGGTCTTCTCCCTCACATTCGTCTGATGAGAAGCCAAATATCAAGTCCGTTAGCATTAACAACAATGTGAAGATCGACCGATCGATTGCTCACTCAGGCCAGACGGCAGACGGCAGTGAACGACCTGGACCTTCAATGTCAAAATCGAATCACCTTTCAACATCTCCCGATATTCTTTCCAAGGTCCCAACAGAAACTTCTTCATCCTCCTTTGCTTCACAGATGCTTGATTTGGCATCAGATCAGCCACCCCCACCCCCACCCGACCAAAAGACTGGGGCAAGGTCCAAATTGACAGGAAAGCGCCCCTTATCATCAATCGAGAAACGTCGGCAGGTTATTGGTCGGGTGTGTGGCTCTCTTGTTTTCATTGCCGTAGGTCTATGGGGATGGAGTCTTGGACGCGATTGGGATAACGAGGATGAAAAAAGGATGTTGGGGGGTGGGGAGGATGGCGATAGGATATCTAGAACGCGGGCTCGGCTTTTTGATCTATTCGACGTGAGAATTCTCCTGAAATTGCATATCCTTTGGATACAATAGTGTCTGATAACCTGGAAATATCTGGAATTGAATGATAATAAAATAGTATTTTAATAAGCCGGCGTGGAACCCCATTTTACCGCCTCCTCTTCCCGAACCTCATGGCAGGCCTTATACCTTACTTGTAGATCTTGATGATATGCTAGTACACTCTGGTTGGTCCGTAAGTATCTCTCACTTTTTGGTCACCTGGAAAGCATGATGGCTTCTCTGACATGCTTATGCGACGTATTCGGATATCCAGAGAGAACATGGGTGGAGGACCGCAAAAAGACCTGGAGTGGACTACTTCTTGAGCTACCTTTCTCAGTTTTATGAGATCATCATCTTCACCACGCAACCAGCATATGTTGAGTCATAAACATACCTGTCTTTCCTTATTGCAATGAGCTGACCTTCTCCAACTTTCTTTCAAAGACCGCAGCCCCAATTATTGAGAAACTAGACCCGTATGGGTACTATTCCCCTTACAAAATTTTCAAAGAAGCCTGTCGGTCTAAAGGCATTGTGAACCCACAGCTTATCAAAGATCTCGATTATCTAGGCCGTGATCTACGCAAGGTTGTCTATCTTGAAACAAAGCCCAGCTTAGTCCAATTACATCCTCATAACGGTTTCATAATCCCCCCCTGGGATGGAAATTCGGCCGATAGTGGCTTAGTAGACTTGATTCCTCTGCTTGAAGCAATCGTCTTCAATGGGGTTCAGGATGTAAGAGACGTTGTACGAGCGTACGAGGGGCGGGATCCGGTGAAGGCATACGCGGAATCAGAGGCCAGACAGAAGAAAGTCTTGCTTGATAAATGGGAAGAGCAGCGGGAGCGGAGGAAATCAGGCTGGTATATCGATTTTGGCGCCTTATTTGGCTTGAGCAACGTAAGTAGAGCGCTTTTTTCCACAGGCTCCTACTCAACATCCCCATAGACTTTGACAAGTACGATCAGCTCGATCGTTATGTGATAAAGCCGACTGAAGTTCGTGATGTCCTATTCCAGTCAAATCCTGATGAACCACCCAAACTCGTGGTGGAAAAGGACCGGGCAAGAGCTCAGCAGGCATACCTAGAAGAGCAAAAGTATTGGAAAGACAATGAAGCATCATTCAAGAAACTCATGGAAGAGGATCGAGAAAGGCAGCTTGCAGAGTTCAGTTCTTGTTTCCATTCTCTTTCCTTTTGATGCATTTGATTTGAATGGATTTTGCTCATCTACTGATCGGATGTTTTAATCTCTGCTTCATCTTTAGAATGAAAGGAAGTCTTTTAGGATTCATTACCGGTCAAAATTCTGGTCCACCTTCACAGACTCCACCCTCTGAGTCATCTTCAACGCCGTCATCACCATCTGTACCTGCAAAGTAAAATTCTAGCTGTTGATACCTATTTCATACATCTTCACAACCTGTCTCCACACAATCAGTTTGATGTAACATCCCTTGATTTCAAAATGACGAATTATGTCAAATACCTTGGTGAACTGAACTATGAGATCGAGTACTTTGTTTAAGTATTTCAAATTGAAACCCGCATTAAACAAGTTAAAGATTAGATGGTCAAATATTTGTTTGTGATGGAGTTGGACTCAACAATTCTTGTGTCTCTCTTGAATGCGGCTGGTTCTCAATTCATGAACTTGACTCTACTCATTGTTCAAGATGCCCGAATGTTTACAGTCAATTCTTACTGAGTCATATTGAATGCTTCAGCTTTTGTTGATCACATTCACAGGTGCCTATGTGACAGATTAAGTTTTTGGTCCTGGCAATCTTCAACCCAGGAAGAACTCCAGAATTCACTCAATCAATTCAAAGAGGATACACCATTGGTTCATGAATCAGACCCACTCTACCCGCATAGTTGCCTCAGAGACAAACGTCCAAATCCGGGTTAGGCCCTAAGGAGTGTATATTGAAGTGCCCCGACTCTCTCCCGAGGCCGGAGCTTCTTTTGCAAAATGTGATATTTTTTATTTATCCCCCGAAGCTTCCAAAGCCCAGGCCATTATGAATTCGAACATCGATATTCAAAACTCAACAAAGAAAGAAATACCCAAACCAATACCGACTGAAGATTCAAAATCAACACCAATCCTGAAAAAATGTGTTTGGAGGCCCGTCTTGGGCTCAGCATTGGGGGTTCCATGGTGAGTAGATGATGAATCGCCTTATCCCTTGATATGAATATTGACTTTATGAAACCTTCAAATAGGCCAACTTTGAGTCAAGATGCAGCTGAACAAGTCTTGGAAGGTGTAACGGAAATTCTTAGGGATTTTACATCACAAGTTAATTCATTGGGATTAAAACAAAACGCGACTCGGAAACGTAAGACCAAGCGGAAACATATGGATGACACCGCAAGCCGAACTCTATCAAGAATATCTGATATTCAAGCGATGGACGCTGATGTAGTTCAAGACGATCCCTGTCCTGAACAAACGAGCGACGCGAGTTGTCCGCCTGCCACCGGAATGTACGACGATCGCCTTTCCGAATTCAGGAATCGCGTACCAGACACAAAGGATCAAACGATAATCTCATCTCCGCCGACGGATCCAAAACTTGGCATGAATTTTACTCCGCCGATTGATGCGAAATCAAATAATATGGCAAACCTTGATCCGATACCACCGCAAGCCACCGAAACCTCAACATGTGGAACAAAACTGGCCGAACGGCTTTGCTTTCGCAGAGAAAGGACAAAGTCAAAGGATCAGGTGATCGTGGGCATCAAAGTCATCACTCAGATGCTGGAAAGTAGAATACGTGAATTGCAAAGCTCAACTCCTCGAATCACGTCCAAGCCCAAGACACCTACCCTTGAAACAAGGAACGGATCTGTGGAGCCGGATGACGCGCCTTTTAAGAGGCAGTACATATTTGTATGTAGAGACGACCTAAATCCGACAAGTGTGGTCGATCATCTACCTCTCATGATTGCTTCCTTAAATCGTATGCTATTGTCATGGAAGCCTTCTTCTGCAGCTGATCAAGCCAAACAAAACTCTGCTTGGTATCTCATCTCACTCCCCCGAGGCTCGAGTGCAAAACTTTCTCTAGCCTTGGGTATCAAGCGAACTGCTGCCGTGGCGATCTCGGTAAGTCAATTCAGCTTATAACATCTCAAAAATGCTGAGGAATCACTGTCTCCTTTCAGGGTTCTACACCGGGATTCAATGAATTGATTAGGTCGATTCATGTTTTTCTCGAGCCACCATATCCACCTTCTTTGAAAGTCTCTACCTCACCTGAGCCCGGTATCTCGCTTCCGACTGGATATTCCGATACAGAGCCAAGTTGGATTCCAACTCATATTAAGCACTATAAGTCTACAGTGCCTCTTGACATGAAGAAAGCTAAATTGGAAAAGGCACAAAGTCGACAAGAGAAGAGACTAAGACGTCGTATCGCGAAGATTTCGGCCCAGCAGACGGCCCAACAGACAGCCGTACTGGTCGATAAAAGAGTTTGACGTTCGCAATTAAGACTTGATTATGTCGACTCTCATTGCGCATTACAAGTGCTTTTATAAACTTCGTATTCTGACATTCTGGAGATTCAATGACTCAGATCCACCAAGTTTCAAAGTGTTTTCTCCAGGTAACTGTCTCTCGTTATCATCTTGTCCGTCATCTCTTGATGTTGCATGACTAATTAAACATACATCACGAGGCGTGGATCAATGGTAAAAACTAAATCATGTTCAAGATTTTTGTAGTTCAATCTTTCTTCTATCAACACGACGTAGCTCTTGTATACCGCCCCGACTTTCTGGTGTAGTTTGAAGGATAAGGCAACGAGCGACCAGTTGAATCTAAGGTGAGGTTCAAAATAAGCTAAGAGGTATTGGGACTTGAATTTTGATAACCTCGACTGGCCACAGCACATCTAGAGTGGACGCGAGTTCCTCAATATGATACCCCATTAAGCTGCGTGGTATCACGCCCCTCACGGCCGCGTTCTGGGTCCTCAAACAAAAATTGATATCCACGCTGCGGAAGAAATCCCTCACAGGTCTTACATACATCCTCAGATTGACTTTGGCTTATACGTTGTGATGATGTGTTTGATGGCCATGAACTCTCTCTCAAGAGCCTGTAATCAATTTACCAAAACGTGGTTGTCACTTTTTGTCTCAGCATATGATCCTGACAACATGTGCCAGACAATCTCTTAACCAGCCTGTTTCTCAGATTGGTGATAGACAGAAAACTATGCCGAGGTCGTGGCAATGTTATCACCGAGATGTGTGAAGAAGTGACTTTCTCTAGTCTCAGTCACTAGTCTGGGGTCCCGAAATCAATATGAATGTGTAATTGAACCGATCACAATGCTAAGATCAAAAAATATCCAGCACTGATCCTGCTTTTGATCTTGAGTCTTGCTCCTTCTGTTTTTGCTTCTCGCTGATTCTGAAAACTCTGAATCGCCATCATAGACATAACGAAATAAAAACTAGGATAGCGGGATAAGAGCAACGGGACTCTCCGCTTTTACATTGCTTTTGTAATGCAGACAGCAGATTTTGCTGCGGTTATCTCATACAACCGTTATCTCCAAAACTTTTATATGTCTTCTATCACTGTGACACGTTATAGACTATTATTGGCTTAAAAGTGTGTTTTAGAGTTGTGGAGTTATGTCTCGTTCTTACATTTGCGTAAAAGTGATGTTCCGTCTCTATGCTTGGTAAGCAGTCTTATGTGCTTGACGCACTTCTTCATGTAACCAAAATCAAGTGTAAAGGAAACTGTCAATGGTAGGTTTGTATGCCACAGCGGCTGCGTACGAGGCTTATAGAGCCTACTAGGCGTCCCTTTCAAATCCATGTTCCCAAAAGTGAGGTATCATGGAGATACCGTCATTATTTCACTTTCTTGCCATTCTCATCTTCTTTCCGTATCACATCAATGGGCTTGATCTTTGGGGTGGCATGAAGCTCCACACAAAAGGAAATATAAAAGACTGGCACATACACCATTCCTCCTCTAAAAAATCATCGTTTACAAAGTCTGCATCTAAAAAGTTTTTTCCAACAGGCTCATTCTCTACTGGGTCTGTTTTTACAGGTTCATCATTGAAAAAGATATTCTCTCCTGCATCTTTCTTTTCTAGATCCTCTTCTCAAAGAAGTTTTCGCAAAACTTCATCTTTTCATAGATCATATTCTGATTCTAGAGGATCTTTCAGGGAGGATGTCGCTGGTTCATCTTCCGCAAAAAGTTCTTCCAGAAAACCTCCTCCAGCTAAAGAATATTCTTCTACAAGTTCCTCTTCTGCAAAACCGGCTTCTACAAAACCTCCTTCCTCTGAAAAATACTCCTCTTCGGGTTCATCTTCTGGACCATCTTATTCCACCAAACCTCCTTCTGAAAAATCTTCCTCCAAAATTTCAAACTTTCGCAATCCATTTTTTGAACTAGCACCACAAGTAAAGACCGCAGCTAGCTATAAAAGTATACAACATTTGGCTACATTAATCATACAGCTAAACTCTGAGATAAAATCAGCCTCATATTTTAGAGGCAATTTCAACCGAGATTTGGTTGGACGTTGTCTGAGCTATGCTCATGGATTACTTCGAAAAGACAGAGTACATTACATGGATGCTGTTTGGCCTTTAGGAGTGCTACATGGTTTAAATGATTATGCAGCTGCGCATGGACACGATATAGAAGATGTCCTTGATTATCAAGTATATCTTTTCCTTTTTTTCACTACAGGTATAACATATTTCAATTATCATTTAAATCACCATTCTATCAACATAATCCCATGTGATCGACGCCTGACATAATCTTCATTCAGACTTGCAGGAAAACATTATGAATGAGGTCAAGAAATTCGCATTATCTCCATCAAAAGAACGCAAGGAAACAGCAGATCCAGGTGATTTAATTTCGCTGGGAATAGCTGATTATACTTCTTTTTCTGATGATCACTTTGTATGTCCTCTAGAGCTTGTGGAGAGATGTGCACGAGCTCGGTTATTCAGTCATCATCATATGCTAAAGCAAGAAGAACATTCTATACCCGAATCGACCACGATTGAAAAAATCATTGAAGAGTACCTAACTGGAAGTGTCTCGAAAGAAAAAACTCCAGCTATGATGAGTGAATTAATAAAACTTGTGGGAGACCAGGAGATTACTAGTTGGGAGAAATTCTTTGCTACAGAAGTTTGTGTTCATCTGTCAACTCACAATCCTGAAATCCGAACCAATCTAGAAAGATTAATCATTCAAAACTCTGAGTTTCGAGTACAATTTTATATGATATACGCTCAAAAAGATATTGAGGATTATTTCTCGCCGTGCGATACGGCAGTAAGAGTTAGAGATACGCTCTATAAATTCGGAGATCCAATTCAGGGACTCAGCAAGGGAGATGTTCAATCAGTCATAAACGTCATGAAATCTAAGCGACATGGAATCAACGACCTAATGAGAATCCATCGAATTTTGATGGCAAAGAGCTTCTTCAGTCCTATAATCTTGAGCGTCATGTTCGAAGAGACTCAGACACACAATGGAATTCCACCTCAAGTTGCAGAGATCTGGGAAAGGCTTTATACTGGCATCGAGACAAACGGTACCACACTTGCAGACTTTGAATATTATTTACTCAGAGCTGGTAGGTTGATTTCGAAACTCGTCTTTGAATAGGTCATAGTGAGTGACGTATCGTATTTGAAACCATTAGTACCTGGTTTGGTGTCAGGTGGTCGACGAGTTTTGTTTGCACGTAAGATGCTCGGTCGGCAAAAACATCAAGCCACTCACCTCAGCACAATCGCAATTGGTCTAATGAGCCTGCCATGGAAAGTGAATGAAAACACATTGGGAATGGCAATGCAACTTCAGCGCGTGATTGATGATTACTTCGAAATGAGGCCATATGTAGATGTGATGTTGTTTGAAGCGTACATTCATTTGATATCCTATCATGAAGCATGTGCGCATATCATGTTGATGAACTTGAACTTCAAGCCCGGCTTCCGTGAAATAATCAAAAGATGTGCAGAACTGGTTTTGCAAAACACAAAAGGTGCATCAGGAGTTGCACCGATTGTTTTTTCCAAATTTGCTCAAAATGTTAAAAGTGTGAGTTTGATGAATGATTTTCAACTTGAAAAGACAATCAAAGCTTGGTATTGATTTCTCCTTTGCTGTTCAAAACCACCACATCCTGGGTAGACCATTGAGCACTTGGAAAATGCAGAGAGGGAAATTCATCCAGACAGTCTAAGAGAGTGGGCTGTATCTTTTCACAAAGCCATAGCCCATTGACCTTTCTTCAAACACTGATATCTGCGCAAGTAAGGTGAATCAATCTTTAAAAGTACATGAAGGTCATTGAAATAATCAATATAACCTATCATCATCATATACAAAGAATAGGTACTTTCCTGGTAGTTGATATACATAGGTCGAATTGACATACGGCAATCGTGGCCAGCTGAGTAACGATATCATCTCGAGTTTACAAAAAGATCTTTTATAGATGACCATCTCTTACAAGGCCTTTCCGTAAGGTCAAGAAGCACAGCAAGGAAATCAGTGTGATCGTTTGACACGCCCATAATTTCCTTTGTTCATCCATATCGACATCACCAACTTGTCTTTTGTCAATGAAAATCTTACATTAACAGCGTTTCTTTTCGTAATAATCCTTTTGATCCCGCCATCCCTGCCATTTTTATATGTTAGTAGGATGACACCTTGATGGGTCTCTCGAATTTCTGACATGACATAAAACTATATTGTTTTCTTTGGCACCGGTGTTCTTTGGGATGTCTTGAACTCTAAGATCAGACAAGAACAAAAATGTAAAAAATATGGGTGGTAAAATTGATGGGAAAGCATAGGGGGCTCCAGCCACCTTTATATTTTTGTGAACCCTTGTGGATCTCTGGTACTATTGGCATTTTTATTTTGCTAGGCCGAGTACTAAATATATGTTTTCATGGAGTGCAATGGTACCCTCCAAAGTTATGCTTTATCAGCTTGAGCCATCTGATATTGAAGTAACTTACAATCGCATCAAACCAGCTTCTTTTCGAGATCGAATTCAAGTGCATCAAATCGCATGTGATTTGGGCTTCATGGGCACAAGGGTCAATCAGTGTAATTTGCGTCCTGCAAAAATATGATTATGAATTTGGAGAGATCACTTGAAACGGCAAAGCGAAAATTGCTACTTGCTAGATCCTTCTTTGACTTCAATGATAGCAATTCGAGTGAGTCACTGATATGTCCCTTTTCTCCTGAGCCACAAGATAGGGCCGATTCTAATACCTCGTGGCAAGCTTTGGACAGTAGCTAGTGTTTACTTATCGCGATTTGTCGTACTTGTTCAAGTGAATGGTCAATCTGACATACATATTTGACTGAGTATACTTCCTTTGTAGATTTCTTGGCGCGTGGTAGGTCGTTGAGCTGAGGAACAGCCACATCAAGACGGTTATGACATGGACCATTGACAGTTTTGCTAAAGGCCGCCAGCAAGAAAACACACAAAAAGGTATTTACAAGCCCACTTCACAAGGAAGGTTATACAATCCACAGGCCAAGAATGCTTGCTGCCCTGATGATATGCCCTGAAACTAACAATCAAGTCAAGATCACAATCCGAGCCAGTTCACTTACGAACGGATCGTGACGATGTCTACCGGAGTTCAGCTAATCAATCCATGATCCTCCAACCTATTTAAAGGACGCCTTTTTCTTCCTCCCCGTCACATTCAGCTCACTGCAACATCACACCTCATCGTCTTATCAGACTTTACCCAATTACCTTTTACGCATTTCTACTCTTCAAAGTCATCTTATCTTTCAAACACATTCCTCTCTCAATCTCATACTATCCTCATTTTCTCTATAAACTCTTCTTGAACTAGTTACCATGACCAACCCCACTCGCAACGTAAACTTGTACTCAAAGGCCGACTTAAACGCTTTACTTGGCAATAGCTCGGGCGATTGGACTAGATATCTTCCTCCTCCGTCTCTCGAACGTCGCGTGCCTTCAACCAAGCCAATCTGTATGACAGAAGACGCGTCCAAATTCCATTTGAACATGGCTTTCAACCGCGATGGACCGGAGAGGGATCAAAACGTTCGGTTCACTTGTGGAGTTGGCCCCAAGACGTTGCCTCCTACGGTCCAAGGTCCCAAACTGATCGCTTCAGATATCTCGGACGATGCAGACCGCTCGGAATGGAGACAACATTGGAGAAAATGGGCGTTCCCTTTACGAACGGACGCTCCACGCGGCTTAACTTGGGGCCCTTACTATGTGAGGCCGATGGCATCATTGAAACGATCAGCCGAAGATGTCACTTTATCAAAAGAGCCAAAACGACAAAGGATCTTTGCCATCTTACGATCACCTCGAGAACCCCTTGTGATCAAGCTGAAGATCAATCAGAACCCATCAGCATCAATTGGAAAGGATTCAAAGATATTCCAAGATCAAGAACCGATCCCACATTCTTCTGGGCCTGTAAAGCGTGGTCGTAGCGGGTCATCAATCCTCGCTGATGTTGGACAGCGCCAGCCAAAACGTCACTGCAATACTGAAGTGGCACCCTCACCAACACGCGTGGTCGATGGACCGAGGAGGAGGGACATGGATGGCCGGGAGATTTTCACGACCTCATATCAACTTGCGAACTCTTCAGGACTCGCCTGCGACGATAGCCGGAAAGAACTCGTCAACGTAATGCTATCTCCCTCTAAGGAAACTCCTTTGATAAAAAGTCGGATCAAGCTCTGTATCTCTAGTCAATTGAAATACGCTTCATGACTCTTGAAGGAGTGAATGGCATCCTTTGAAGCGAGCTGTAAGTTTTACTCTTCAACTTTTTCTTTTGCCTTTTGAGCTAAAAGCTGACATGATGTTATCATTTTCAGAACCGTTGATCTTGGTTAAAAATCCATTCAAAATCTCTTCAAACCTCGGTTCAATTCACTCGATTGTTTCCTTTTTTCGATTTCTCATATCCTTTTTTTAATTTCTCATTTCTTTCTATTTGTGTCACTTGTAAAGCATAACACCTAATATTTTCGCACTTTTTGTATAACTATCATACACTATTAATTTTTAATTTTCACTTTTTCCATCTTGATTCAAAGTAACAGTTACTAATTTCAATGTTGTAGGATGTCTTCAGTTTTGTCATATCACTTAGTTTTCGGATTTTTATATCATAGTTATTCATTTTTTTTTGGGAAAATTATCAAAAATTTCACCATCTCGTTTTCAATCAAATTGCACTGTATCTTCAAGATTATGAAATCTTGAACCATTTCAAACTTTTGATTGCCTATAAGATCTTTTTAGCTTCATTCCTCCGGCCACACCATTAAATTCACTCATGTGGCCCAAATTGATTGAAAAATGAGTTACAGAGACTTCACAGGCCGATGATCTTCAGTTTCTTGAAAACATCATTTGCTTGCTATATTTTGCCATCGCGGCTTTAAAGCAACATCAAATTTTACCAAACTCCAACTCCCGTAGTAAGGTGCAAGTATATCTCAATTCAATATCAATAGAAGAAAGAACTAAAAGTCAAGAGTTTTCAAGGTGATATGTATCAACCCTCAACCAAGTCTATATGTACCTTTCCCAAATCAACCTTCCCAAACAATTTTCCTATCCCAACCAACATAAACCGGTTCATAAATCATACATTACCAATACATAGTCAAGAATGATGATAAGAAATTCAATATATACATATACATACATAAAAACAAAATCAAATCATTCAAAAACTTAAAATACAACAAACTTTTTTTCTTTACAATACTACCATTTCATAACTCATACTACAATGCTTTGCAAAACGAAAACGAAATAGATCAGAGTTGATCATGCTGAACTAGAAATTCTCCTCCTTTATTTACTTCCAAATAAACCTCTTTCATTCTTCACTTCTTACAATGAATATCATCCTTCGACTCTTTCAAGTATAGATTCTATTCAAACCAAAACAAAAACAAAAACAAAAACAAAAAAATCAATCAATGATATCTCTTGTTAAAGAAAAAAAAGATAAATGTAAAAGAAACAAAATCACTAACCTGGTGGATTATTAAACTTCTTACCTTTACGATCAATAGGATTTTTTCGATCAGCTAACCAATCAATCTCACCTAAATCCTAAAAACACAGATCCAATTCCCCAAAAAAACAAACCATCATCAATTAATCTCTGATGAAGAAAACCATCAACAAAAACCAGTTGAAAATCAATAAAAATTCGCTTACAAAGAATCCATACCCTTCACTCAAGACCTCATGATCTTCGACTTTCCTTTCTTCTTCTTTCGTTTGATTACCTTTATGAATTCTACCCCAATGATCTGTCCATTTATAATCAGTAGAATGTCTCGATTGAATCGATTGAATCGGACTAAATTGATCTCTAACTCCAACTAAGACAGGCAATTCGATCGATTCATTAAATTCGATTCTTAACATTCTTTGAATTTCTAAAAGATAAGATCTCAAACAATCTAAAAACCTTTGAGTTTGTCTATGTTTAGAAGATCCAACGAATGAAATCCCATGATCTTTAATAATATAACCTAATCCGAATCCATCATCTACTACAGGACCAAATCCAAAAAACCTTAATGAAGGATTTCCACAATTAGATGTACTTAAGATTGAATGATTTAATAAACCATACCCTGAATCTTTAAAAATCGTGGCTTCTCCATTACATAGTATAAACATTGCATATAAGATTCGATCTTGTCCTAATCCATTTCCACATCTTTTACTTAATGTACTATGAGTTTCACATGCAAGTTTTAATGATTTGAGTTTTTCACTTATACTTGTATCTGAACAAAACTTTTGGACGAATTTCACAGATTCAGGTGTGACTGATCTAATCCCTTCGGTTCTTCCATGATGAAATGATTTAGTCATGGCTGGTTCATAAGTTGATTCGAATTTACCGTATAATGAAAAATAACAAACTTGAAATGCCATTTGTACAAACTGAAGAGAATCATCAAAGCAAAGGAAAAAAGATCAAGAGAGCTTTTGAAACCTTTTAAATTAAACTAGGATGGGGTTTTCCAGAAAAATAGATGATTGAAAGACAAAGATTGAAACTTACTGCATCAGGTGAAAGTTGATGAGCAACAATGAATTGTTTACCAAACCCATCAAATTCTAAAGCTTTGACTTCATTCTGACAAATCAAATCTGACAATCTAGTTTCAGCAAACCTAAGAGCGGTTTTCAATTCATTAGAAAAGATCCAATTTAATTTTTTAGGTCTCCATTCGATTCTTTCTTCTTTAGAAACCTTAGATTTAAATAAAGTTTTAGATTTCGAATTGATAGAAGAAGCAAATCTTAAAATCAATTCGGTATAAAGATCACCTATAAATCTTAGTACTGTATGACCATCTACACAAGAATGTTCAAAATTCACTCCAGCTGTTCCATTCTTACAAATTATTAATTGTAATTTATCATACCATCGATTGTTACAAGTTCCGATTTGTTTTCCATTAGGATTTAATTGAGTCGTTCCACTTAAAAAACTTGAACACATCTCATTGGCTGTGATCGGATTACTATCATCTAAACATACTATAAAGAGTGATTCATCTACGATCTTTAAGTAATCTGAATTCGGATTCGAATTCATTAATAATTCGGATCTGATCGAAGCCCAGATCGGTCGGGTTTCGGTGGTGAGGAGTCCGATTGATCTTTCAGCTACTTCAGAGGTTGGAAGTTGATCGGCATCTTGAATGATCGAATGTAGATTGTTCAATAGATCTCGTTCAGTTAAACATGGTCTATGTTGTGAATCCAATACCTTCAAAAAACCAAAACACACACACATCAAAATCAATCGATCAATACCCAAAACAAAACAAAAGACAGTTTAAAAGACACAAGAAAGCTTACATTAAACCAATAAAATTGACCACGTCTCATGATAACCACATGTTTACTTTCATTAAAGGTTTTGATTTGACAACCATTAGACGTAGGAATCCTAGCCGTACCAAACAATTTAGAGTATTGACTCATATCAAGTTTCGTACCACGAATCGAATCAGCTTCAAGTTGATGGTTACGTAAATCATCTATAAAACTAAGTGAAGCTAAAATTAAAGATGCAGCTCTTGTAAGTTGATTACCTCTAGATGGAGTAGGATCATCTCTAACCAAAACCAAAACCCAAACCCAAATCCCATCAGTTTAGAGAACATGAAGAAATCGGGATGGTGCTTACTCTAGAATGAAGAATGGGTTCAAGTTAAGGACCACTGAATTGGTATGATGTAAATAAGCTTCATACCAAAACTCTTCAATATAAGATGAACGATTTGAAGAATAATTTAATAATTTTTCATGTAAGAGAGGACCATCAGTTTCTAAAAACTTTGCGACAATTGATTTTGTGATTTGATGTTCTTCGGTAGATTGAAGTGGTTGAAGTGCTGCTAAGTAACGTGAACAAGTATCTGATGATGAGAAATGAAGATTGGATGATGGATTAGTTTGAAGTGATGGTACTGGATCTAATCAAAAGAAAGAGATAGTTACCCTTGAGTGGTGGGATTGGTAAAAGAGGTAAACTTGTCGTTGAATCGGCCATCGTTTGAAGAAACAGAACACCAATCAGTCTCAGTCTCAACCAATGAACTCTTGAATCAAACTCCAGTACATTGTAGTAGGATTTTATTCAAATGGAAATGAATTCTGCTATACACCACGGGGTAACCCTTCCTCGGCCTCGAATGGTGATGATGTGACAAACATTGAGAGAACATTCTCACTGCCGCAACATTTGCGAACGGTAACTCAGGGGTCTGGCTCACTCCGAGAACGCCTCCCCTGGTGCAACAACATTATGTAGATGTCAAAACAATGAAAGAAATACGGGAAAAAAGCTTCATTAAAAGAGTTTGTATTTTATAAATAAATAAATAACAACAACAACAGCTTCAATCAAACACAAACACAAACACATACATACACAAAGCTGATGATTCATAAAGTGAATGAATTTACAACTTCAATTTCAATTAACCAATCAGATTCACCCACTTCAACCAGATGAGTTTGAGCAAACTGTTCAAGATTCAAATGTACCAAATAAACCAATTTATCATCCGATTCCTCATCAGTCTTGATTCTTTCAAATTCTAATGAACTTTCTACAACCTCTTCATCTACTTTAAACTTAATCAAATCTCTAACACATTTAAAGATTTCATCATCTTTATTATTTTTCTTTTGATGAAGAGTTTCTTGGATTAAAGCTTTCTTAATGATCAATCCGAATCCAATCGAACTTGTAAAAGCAGTTTTGAACCTTAATTTAAACGTTTCTTGATCATTAAACCCATCAATGTCATCATCTTTTCTTTCCTCTTCATCAAGAGGGTTTGATTGTAAAAGTTCAGTTTGTTCATCTTCCTTCACTATACCAACAGAACTCATCATCTGATCTTTCTTAACTTTAGAATCACTTCTTCTTCTGATTGATAAAGTTTCATTCGCTTTAAAATCATTAGGTAAGAATCTAAACAAGAATCCAGAAGTGATCAAAAAACTTAATCCGATTGTCATTTTCAAAATCGCAAAACCTTCTAAAAAGATCGTTCGAATCGGTCTTTTTAAAAAATCTTGTAAAAGTCCTTTTAAAATCAAACTTGAATCTTTTTTAGATACTTGATCTTGAAGAAAATAATCATATATAAATCTAAGTCTACCATAAGGTGTAAACGTATTCATAGGATTCCTTATAATCTTTTGATCCATCAAGTTGGAAGTTTGAATATCTTTTTCTTCTTGGATTGTGATTAAAGGTTTTATTTTAACTTCGGATTTAGCTTTCGATTCAACTTTCTTCTTTTTAATTTCATTCTCTTGAACTTGTCTAATTCCAAATAATCCACCAAACCCATCTAAAACACCAAAGGTAGCAATCCCAATCCCAGGAACTTGAGAAACTTGCCAAACTTGAGAGATTGTAAGAATATCAAACATGTTCTCTCGTAAAGAAACAGTCATCACTGGAGCAGATGAATGATTAGGTTGATTGATCTCTTCATCACAGTTCAAATCATCTAGAACAGTAAAAGTTCGTTGGTTTCGAGAATAAATTGCAATCGATTTGATCTGATTTGAATACTTATCCACTTGATTGATTCTCAAAGCTTCAGAAATGTCTCGTTTCGTTATAAGATCGATTCCAAGATCCATCCCAGGCCCAAAATGATTTTTAACATTCCAAACTCCAATCAATCCACCTCCCACATCTTCAACCGGTACTCCGATCTTCAATAAACCCCAAGCCGTCGAATCATCTGTTAATCTATCCATACTGAATCCTAGGCTCCTTCCAGGAAGTACAGTCCCTGATTTTCCAGTGGACTGAACTACACCAAACCCTCCAGATTTCAAGGCAGCTGTGAGTTTTCGACTTGTCACCAGATCATGTTCACCAATCCGATCAGTAATATAAATCGGACTTGGTGAAAAGACTCTGAGAGCTGTATGATAAGCACTAAACGGATGTCGGGTCATGGTCATATCAAAGTCAGGTGTGAAACCTATTCCACATGCTAAAAGACTATTGAAAGCGTTTGAGATAAGATGCCATCGATGAGCATCTGGATTACGTTCATCAGGGAAAAAATCATCACTGGTTCGCATCACCCATTTGGCTGTTGTCGAGTTGGAAAGTTTGCCTGATTCCATAAGACGCGAAGGACGAGCACCCCAAATCTGAGGGGAATGTGCCATACAATGTATTAAAGGATAGATTCGATCGACTACAAAGATCTGTAAGGCTGAGTGGTTCATTGAAGTCCACATCTTGGACCGAAAGGCCTGAGCTGATTCTGATGGATGACTTTCACATTGATAAATGTAATCTAACCCTGCTTGATTATCCACCTAAAGTATTCATATCAAAGGAAAAAAACTCCATTAACTCAATGTATTTCTTTTCTAGAATGATTCTAGAACATAAACTAACCTTCACAAAATCAACCCCAGCCGATTTCAAGTATCCAAAGTACGCATTCCAAAAATCCGAGAGACTTAAGATGCTAGGTAAATACCAAGTAACAGTTTGATGATCAGATGAATCTTCTGGATTTCGAACAGACCAACGTTGAAGTTTGAACGGTTTCATCGTATCAGATTGTGGATCTAAACCTTCCCAATATCTGGAAAACAACCTTCAGTGAGATCTACGCGAAACCCTTCAAGGTTCTTGTGAAAGAAACTTACCCATTTAAAGTGATCCATACACCTACATATTTAATGTTACCCCTTCCAGTTTGTCGAATCCGATCCACGGCCATCTTCAAATCAGTTTCTTCAGATTTAGTGATATTTCCAATCTGATTGACTTGTGTTTGATGATGATGTTTTGAATGTTTGTTTTGATTCGATATTGTTTCTTTATCAAACCAATCCTTCTTGGCTCCCCATCCAGAAAGTCTTCGTCCAGATGTGTCTTGCCATCCATCATCTAATAAGATGCTATCAATGAGATTAGCTAGTTTGGATTCTTCAAGATCTTCTAAAGCTTTAAAAACATTTGATGATCGATAATCTGGACCGAGAGCGTTCCAGGTACAGTAACGTAGCTTTTGAGGGGATAGGTTTTTCGAAAATAAGTCACCCGATTCTGGATTACCGACAGCAGCACTGATTAGGTTCTGAAGTGCCCATTCGGGACCGATACTGATAGCTACTTGCGGTTGATCATCAGATGAGTCATCATGTGTACTGAGACTTGAGCATAAGACTAGTTGAGAATTTGAATTTCTACGAAAAGTGGATGATCGGTTTGGATGACTGATCGGCCAAATCACTACAGCCAAATGATCGTAAACTGGTCTTTTGAAGATGATGGCTTGAGTATCGAAATTCTGGGAAACTTCATTCAAGGATGTAATCGATCGTGGATTGTACCAAGTTGGTTTTGATCTTTCGTATAGTAATCCTTCGATTGAATTGAAAGCTTCATCATTCAAGTTGATCAAAGGTTCTTGATGGTCTATTGGTGAAGTTGTATCCGTTGGTTTTTTAGGAGAAGGATAAGTGAAAAGGTGAGTGGTGAGATCGAGAGAGTGTTGGATGATGACGTCATCGGTTGCATTGGTTTTGAAGCCATTGATCAATCGATCTTCTACTGAATTCTCATTCTCAACATCATCCGCATGTACTCTAATCTGACCATTATCACCTAATGAACCTAACCATTCCAATTTCTTTTCAATCTGATCTTCTCCTACTGATAATCGATAAGTAAAACCGTAGTTTCCAGATTGAGATTTTAAACAAAGTTCAGCTTGCCAAAGTATTGTATTTGATTTCTTTGAAGTAAGTGAAGAAGATTGAATCTTTTTAAAGACTACTGATTTCCAAATCGGAGTAGGTTCATCAGTTTCTTCAGATAGTTTGGCATCTGTCCAAATCTCTGGAATTCTTGAACCAGCTATATTCGTTGAAGCCTCTTGATCTTCATAGGCGTAAAAGTGGAGTCGACATGTATCATTTCCAGGATAAGGTCTGATATTAAGCACTGATCCTAGAGATGGATCGAAGCTGAATGGCATGATTAGCAAGTTGAAGCTTGAGAAGGGACTATCGAGTTAAGCTGAGTGGTGCACTCCAGTGTAGATGACGATGAACATGAGAGAAATTTAAATTTACAATTCTTCATAAACCACTTTGAGATTACCCAATGACACTTTGACTTCCATCTTACATACATTCTAAGGGCGCGTTCACTTAAGGAATTTCTGACCAGAAATCACATTCTGGAAAATTTTTAATGCAAAAATGAAACATACACCACCAAATAGACACTTTAAATTTTGCAGAATGTGATTTCTCACCAGAAATTGCTTAAGTGAACGCGCCCTAAAAGAACCTGCATCTTGATATCCAACACACTTTCTCTGTAACACAAATGGTCCTTAAATGCATCTCATAAGAAAAACATTGTGAACTCGGGTTGACCAGATGAGTGAAAATCAACTGGAACCAAGCGATCCAACTTGAGTGGAAAAAGGTGAAGTTTCTTATAACCTGGTTGAGTTGATACATCACATCTCAGCTTTTCACTAGAAACTACTGAAAAAGATGATGATGATGGAATTAGATTGGCTCAAAGGATCAGCAGGGTACACATTTTAGAATCCCCAATCTCTTTGAAATCCAGACATATTTCTCTTTTTACAGAAAACTCATTATAACAGTTAACTTCTTTGCGTGGGTGATACAATTTGTTCAAGCTCATCGGTCGAGTTTTTCTAAGTTTCATGGCCTTTCCACAAATTAATCAATGAAAGTTTCTTTCGCTAGTGTCCAAATTAGTTTTTTGTCATATAGATGCTCAAGACTCATTAGGCATTGATCAATTTGTAATCAAAGAGATTCATGCAGATACAAGCAAAAATCCCTAGGGATATCACTACTACAAGAATAGATGAAGAAACTCAAAAGAAAAATCAAAAAGTTGAAGATGAGAATGGAAACAGATAAACCAAAAGGCTTTAAAACCTAGATTAGATGATGTATCAAAATCGTTTGAGTTCTCAACTTCAAGACATTCAGATTTCTCCTCTTTGATTCTCTGTTGATACTAATCATCTTCATGTTTAGGATTTCCAGTAGTCAAATGTAACTTTCACAGACTTTTTCATTTCTTCTCTGTGTCAGTGACCTAACAATCATGAACATACATTGATTAGCCAATTTGAAAAGGGTAAGAAAATATAGAATTATATCAAGTTAACGTACCGATTATTCTTCAACTTCATCCTTTTCCGTCTTCATATCAGTCTCAGCTTCGGAAACGTCTTGAGTATCCCTCTTTTGCATTTGATTTTCCTGAGAAGACAGAAAAAGTATGTGAGTCGACTCTGAATGATCTAGGTCACCTCATAGTGAAGCAGAATCAAAACTGACGGTGTTTCCGGCGAGATGGTCATCTCCTTTCATTTCCGGTACATCATCTACTGTATGTTCTACAGCCTGCGATTCGAAAAAAACACGCGTTAACTTCTTGCGCGAGATCATAGGTATGGAGAATCCAGTTACTTACGGATTCTGTAGCACTAGTGGTTTTCCCATCGGCAGTTTCGAGTGTCGCTGGTACGCTCAACTCGTCAACGTTGCGTCTGTTCAGGCCCGGTTCCTGGAAAGAATCAAGAGTATAAGTGTAGCTCGAGGAAATGAATGTAAGAAGATTGATTGTTTAGCTCTGGTGATCATTTCAGTCTCACTCACTTGAGGTTCTTGAGTTCCTTCAGTTTCATCAATTGCAAAACCATAACCCTTTGAGGGATCTCTAGTCAAAAGCTGTTTGGTTTGGTGCTCTAAATAATTGGTCGGGGCTGAAAAAGTTTGATCAAAGACAAAACTTGAGACGAGAAGAGAGAAGATTATACGGTTCAATTGTAACATTTTGAAGATTTAATAATTGGAGTAATATGAAGTTTTTTAGGTAGTGTAGTGTTGATTAAAATTATTTTTAAGATGAATTGTTTGATTGGCTTGTGAGGAGAAGATGTGTGTTTGAACACCCATCTTGGGGCTGTTTTATACCCTATAGCTTGCACGTTGATGTTATACAGAGTCATGGTACCTGTGATTCATTTCTTCCATGATTCCGAGGATGATCAGGCTAAAGGTGACCATCTCCGCTAGACAATTTTGAGCAATTTTCCATCGTGGTGATGGACCGAATCTGAATTGACACTTGACACTTATCGATAGATGAAGGCTCTCTTACGACCCACTCGATGTGCTCTTCTCGCTGGTGATCACGTTGCCTGCTTCGACTGCCACATGACCATCGCCGTCAGCATCACTAGGGTGACGATTTTGTCACCTTTGGAGTTATGTATATGAGGGATGTGTTGATACGATCTCAATGCTCCAAAGATCCTACATGTCATGAGCCTATCGATCAAATCGTATACTTTCCGAGACACTGATGTCTCAACCTGAGCCCCGAGGCCAAAATCGCGGGTAACAGCAATCCCGACCCCTAACCCGAAAGGCAAGCTGTGAACCCTAACCCTACCCGACCCCTAACCGACCACTCTCCGAGAGGCTGGGGGCATCCCGAAGCTCGACCCTACTACCCTAGGGTACCCGGAAGGCTTCGGGGCCCCTTTGCCCCGAAGCTAATTTATATTATCGCACCTTCTTGAAGCTGTTGTAGTAAAATTCAAGTATCCTGTTGAGTTTGAAATATGTCATAGGAATGCCAAGTGATGTCACTTCTGCCTTCCATGTGAGATTCATCCTGATTCAACACATTATAATGGAGACATTGGTACGAGTTTGATGGAAAAAGCAAAAAAAAACATCAATAATCGATTGATTTCTAAATTCCGTAGACAGACTATTGCCTACTGTTGCTCAAATTCCCTTATCGTCATGTCATCTGGTACCTCTGCTGAAGCATCAACCCCAGGTCTTCCTATCCTCGATCAACCTGGCGATGAATCTACTGGAGTTGAAGGACGTAAACGTGGCCGAGTCAGTTTTGTTTGGTCACACTTTACAAAGTTCCCCGGATCAAAACGAGGAGAAGGCTATAACCGATGTAACTTCTCTGACCCTATCACTGGCAAGGAATGTGGTGCGAAGATGAAGGAGGATGCCACCGGAAGTACAAAGTCAATGAAGACTCATTTAGAAGGTCACAATATTACTGAACATAGTGAAAACTCGCAGAATCAATCAAGTCTTGATGGATTCTTGAAGAAATTCAAGGCTGAACCAGTTGATACACTCAACATTCAAACTTTAAAAACAGCAATTTCCTATTTTATAGCCGACTGTGACCTTCCTTACGCTATTGTCAATAAGTTGTCTTTCAAAAAACTTCTTCTACTTGCAAATCCTCAGATCAGCGGCATGCTTGTACAGCGTCATTCAATTGCTCAGCACTGTAGAAAGGTCTATCAGAATTTTGAAAACTACATAAAGGATGTATGTTTTGCTGAAGCGTCCTATGTGGCCTTCACCCAAGACGCTTGGACCTCACCAAATAATCATGGGTTTTTGGGGATTACGGCTCATTATATCTCCAAAGATTGGAAATTAATGGATGTGGTGCTTGGAATGCCACAAATTGAAGGTTAGTTTTACAACATTTATTTGATTCTGTTTTGTCACCTGACATTTGATCAAACTGTTTGCTTACTCAACCACAGGAGCACATGATGGTGAAAATTTCACTGAACTATTCCTCAAGTATGTCAGAAGATACAATCTTTGTTCAAAGATTTCTGCCTTGACTGCGGACAATGCAAGTGTTAACAAAAAGATAGGACGTTTACTTTCGGAAGAGCCCAATCTGGAATTTGAAGAGGACCAGCTGCTTGGATGCTGTGGTCACGTAATCAATTTAGCTGCAAAGGAGGGCCTTAAGGTATTTGGAGATGACTCCAATCTGGATGAAGACCATGTTCCTCCGACATTAGCTATGATTGTCAACCCCCCCGACAATTCTTCAGTTGATCTAAGTACAATCTACGCACGTATTCATGGACTAGCCATATACACACAAAAGACTCCTCAACGTAGTCAAGCTTTCGCAAGTCTTGTAGGCCTTATTCGGTCCCTCGACGCCACTTCTGATACCGACCTTACTGATGACACAGAAAACATCGCTTCGCAAGATGAAGCCCTTCAATTCTTCCAGTTCAAGACACACGAAAACCCGGACGAGCAAGAAGCTGTCAACAAAACTGATCGCATTGACAGGCTCTCTGTCGACGTTCCAACACGATGGAACTCATCGTACTTCATGCTCAAACGAGCTCTTCGACTCAAAGCAGCCTGTATGAGGTATTGCGAACGTACAGAAGCCACCAAGTTTGCTCTGACCCCACTCGAGTGGGACTATGTTCAACAAATGTGTGATTTTCTGGAACCCCTCAGTGAGGCTACAGATCTATTGTGTAAACGAAGGTTCCCAACGATGCAAGATGTAATTCCCATCTATACAGTCGTTATCGAGGGCTTAATGAAGGTGCAGTTCCTTCTATGTACTGCTCATCTTCACAACTCCCAAATGTGATTTCAACATTGATAAATCTTTCTTGTTTTACATAGGTCCAGGAAAAATATGATCATAATCAACTCCTACCAGCTGCGCGTGACATGCTTCTCAAGCTTGAGGAATACTTTAAAGATGCACTCCGCAAACCAGCACCAATCTGTGCGACAATACTCAATCCACGACTCAAGATGAAGTTTTTCGAAGTGAGCAAACTTTATGTATAGCTCTTACTCTATTTTGATGTTTGAACTGATGTGTATAATCAGGATTGAGCTACATTTTTCAGTCGCTATGGAATGACTCCGAATGATTTCAAGTCACATTTCATTAGGAAATCATCTCAGTTCTCATCATCGACTCCAATCCCACAACATGTGAAGAAGAAGAGCAAATCTTACCTTGACGATGCGATCTACGGAACCGAAGAACATACCAAATCCACCACAATCGAAAGCGAGATAGCTCAATACTTGGGTGAGCCTCGCGCGCATCGATCAAAAACCATTCTCGGATTTTGGAAACTCCGTGAAGGATCTTCACCAGGCCTTGCTCAAATGGCCAAGATGTACTTGGGGATTCCTGCTACAAGCACCTCATCCGAAGGAGCATTTAGTAAGACAAAAAGAATCTTAGTGCCTCAGAGATCATCTTTATCTTCTATCAGTGTTGAAATACTATTATGTATCAAGGAATGGTATCGTATCTTTGGTCCTATCCCTTTTCCATCGGTTAAAAACCCTTTAAGTGTTTGTATCGAGATCGATGGGGAGGATTAGTCTCATTTTCCCTCAGTTTTTCCTCACTACTTTTTCTTCACCATCTTTACCAACATCTTTTGACTCTATATTGGCCATATTTGTTTGCCTTTTCATTACTGTCTTTACCAAGAATGTTATCAAAACCTTTCTTTCGAACAACTCCGGTGAGCCAGTCGAAGGAAAACTGGTCTTAGTGTTTTTACGCCTTACCCGCGGGTTCCCCGCGGGTAGGGTTATTCTTCTGAGCTTGAGCCCGCACCCCTACCCGATCGGGTCCCCTAAGCATTGCGGTTCTATAGCTGGTCTCCGAACCCTACCCCTATCGGGGTAGGGTTCGGAGACCCCGCGGGGTGACGGGTCCGGGGCTCAGGTTGACTGATGTCATACTCGTAACTCGCTCATACATACCAAAGTACTTAAATGTTGGTACGAAAAATCTCTGATGTCATACACCAGGGGGTAAACCTAGTTTTCGAAACCGTTTTCTTGCCGTCACGGTTTTAAACTACTTGTGTTGTTTCTGAGACGATTTCAGATGGGACCGCACAAATGCGGTTCCCATCACCATTTTTGGCGGTGCAAGCAAACCGCCTTGGTGACCCCTGAACACGGTCCCTGGGACGTTCTGAGGTACGGCGTAGAGTTTGCAAAAAGGGAATCAGGCAGTGGGCCTTGAACACAGGCTCAAAAACGAGCAAGGTCGACAGCTGAGTCTTTCACCTCTACACCATAATGGCCATATAGTTCACACATGAGAATGCAATCAATAACAACTCGCCAAACTGACATGACACCATGAGGATGAGGACGAGGAATTGACAAAAGAAAATCCAAGCTATCTTCTGTTATGATAAGCGAATTGGGAGAAACCGTTGTATTTCAGATACAAGTCGTGTTGTCAACAAATCCTTGGATCTTGTAACATCAAACAATTCAAAACCTTCTCGAGTTATTTTAGTTCAAGTTAGATATCTGAAGATCTTGGGTACCATCTTCATTCGGTTTAGGATACAATAATCCAGTTCCGTTTAGACGATGCTCACATGGTCTAAAGCTCACCAAAACCTTTTTGAAAGCGCAAGTGAGTTGATCAAATTTACATTGGGTCTTCTTTTCTCTAGAGTTGTCAGAGCAGTTAAAGGTAGAATGAGACTTCAAGAGGATCAAAGGACGAGTGATAGGTTCCATGCTTATCAAAAAGATGGGTGTAGAAGATGAGAAGGACATTGGTTGAGTCCATTAACCATTTTGATTTGATAGGTGTTTGAAAAGTATGTAAGGAGGTAGGATTATCAGAAATGGAATAACCAAAAGTAATCAGAAGAAAAGAAGAAGACTATGTATGTTCGACACCGATGTCGAACAAACCGCTTCACCACCGCCTCAGCAGCCGTTCTCAAACGGTTGCTGACATGCAGCTCGTTCCAGAAGCGGTGGTGGAACGGTGTCCAAAATGGTTTCGGCGAAACCGATTCCACACCTTCCTGGGTGGTTCTGGTGACGAAACCTTTGAAATCGTCACAGGAACCGGCCGAGGCCGAGGACCATTACCCCCTGGTGTATATACACCTGCATATATATACATACTTATCGTCCGTTGATTGGACAACGGAGTATCCAGTTGGCGAGACATTAGATCTTGGCGTTGAACAAGGCTCGCAATTTGCCTAGTAGATTCATCCTGTGCGATTTTCAAGTCCTGCTCAGTCCTCTCCAAGCGGTGCACCAGGGCATCATGCTTCTTTACCAACTCCATTGCAGCTACTGCAATTTGGTAGGATTCATCTACTCTTTTATCTAGAGTATCTAGCACAATATCTTGATTAGCAAGTACTTGTTTGATATTTTCATCCAAATTTGAACCTTTGAAAGTGGTGGACTGTTCTTCATTATGTATTTCACGAGAGGAGAAACATAAACATTTCTTCCGGTCCAAACTTATCCCTTAGAGCCCGTTCACTTAAGCTCCTTTTCGTGAGAAATCACATTCTTGAAAGCCAAGAAAGCGCTTTCTGTGAAATGCGTTTGTTTTCTTATTTACAAGCATTTTAAAAATCAAAAAATGCTTATAAAAAGTCTTTTTCTAGCACTTTCCAAGAATTCGCTATTAGCACCTTTTTCCCTCTATAAATCACATTCTTGATCTATTCTTCAACCTTTCCTTTTGCCAAATTTGGACAAGTCCCCGTCTACCGTACGGAAAGTTTTCTACACTCATCTTCCTGGCTCAGCTTCCTATTTGCTCACCTTCTTCGCTCACTACACTCATCTTCCTGGCTCAGCTTCCTATTCGCTCACCTTCCTGGCTCAGCTTCCTATTTGCTCACCTTCATCTATACTCGTCTTCCTGGCTCAGTTTCTATACTTGTCTTCCTCGCTCACCTTCCTATTCGCTCACATTCTTTGCTCACTACACTCGTCTTCCTGGCTCAGCTTCCTATTCGCTCACCTTCTTCGCTCACTACACTCATCTTCCTGGCTCAGTTTCTACACTCGTCTTCATCTATACTCACCTTCCTGGCTCAGTTTCTTTGCTCACCTTCTTCGCTCACTACACTCGTCTTCTTCTTCTTTGCTCACCTTCCTGGCTCAGCTTCTACACTCATCTTCTTCTATACTCAACCACTCAAATATGCCACCATCAGAAGACAGTAGCGATAGAGTTGAAGTAGTGAAATCAAAGTCAAAAGATAAAGACAAATCAAAATCAAAAGATAAAGACAAATCAAAATCAAAAGATAAATCAAAAGATAAATCAAACTCGAAGAAAGATGAAGATGAATCAAAAGATGAAGAACCAACCAAGAGGAGTGAAGCGTGGGAACACAGTCATACCTTGTATCTTATCGACAAAATCAAGCACCAAATGGACCTCGGAAAGGGGAACGATGGCGGCCTCAAGTCTGATGGATGGAAGCTTGTATTGGAGAACTACAACACCAGGTTCAAAGTCCAAGCAGGTTTGACCTGATTAAAAAACCATTGTCAAAAGGTCAGTCAAAGTGTTTGTATTCTTTCATTACCATCAAACAATGAGCTTACTGATGCTTCTACCTTATTCACAGTTAAAGACTACTTACAAGGCCTTCGATAAGATAATCGAGTCATCTGGTGCTCCTGGAACCGATACAATGACCGGCGAAGTTAAGGCTGACAAGGAGTGGTGGGACCGTTGGATTGCGGTAAGATAGATCTTCAGTTCAAGTTATATACTCTGTTTCAAAACTAATCGATATATATATTTTTGTTTATCCTTATGCTTTGATTATAGAGTGGAAATCCTGATGCAAAGCCGATTTGACACGGTGGTTTTCCAGCATATCAAGCGGTATCAACCGTTATGCCCGAGAAGCGTTTACGAGCCCATGGTAATGAAGGCTTTGGAACTCAGACCAAAAAGAAGAAACAAGCCTCACCGAGTGAGTCAGATGAGCACAACAAAGGTATGTCTCTTTTATTTCATCTGTGCATAGATGATTACAAAACTGATTCCTTTTCCTCCATGACCAGCTGATGTAGCCTCTAGGCACAAGTCCGACTCTGATGGATCTCATAAGTCCGACTCTGATGGATCTCATAAGTCCGACTCTGATGGAGCTCACAAGTCCGACTCTGACAAGGATTCAGTTATCGAGGAAATCAAGATTAAGAAGGTAGCTTCTTCACAAAAGAAGAAAACTCCTGTACGTTCCCAATTTTGTTTTAATCACTCTATCTTTCAATTCTAATCACTCTATCTTTCAATCATCTCTCAATTCGATTCAATCATCTGATTTATCAATTCAATTCCTTTCAATTCGATTCCTTTCAAATCAATTATCACCACACAGAAGAAGCGCAAGCCTGGACTCGACGGTCTCACCGCGGCCAAACGTGAACTTGACACCAGTAGTGATGATGACAAGACACCAGCAAGAAGGTTCATACGCAACAAAAGGAGTCCTGTGCCATCCGGATCGATTGCGAGTTCCAAACGCGCACGCGTCTCTGGACCAAAACTAGTTGCACAATCGATTGATTCAGCTATTGATCGAGTGGCAGGATTAGAAGAGCAACATGACAGTGATAAGGTCACTATTGCTAAAATCAAATTAGAACAACATCCAATGAGGCAAGAAGCCATGAGTATCTTTAATAAAGAATGTGGCAAACAATTAAAACCTCAACATATCATCAAAGTAGCTAATGAATTAAAAAAAGACGACAGTGCTTCTTTTTTCTTTCACATGGATAAAGCCTATAGGTGGGATTGGTTGAAGAGTGAAGCTGGAATATTAGCAGAGTATCAAGAGGTAGATAAATAATTATGTATCTCATTTCAATTCCTATCATATAAATATTTGTATCTCAAACACATATCAAACAAAAGATAACACATGTATCTTACAGTAATTAAATATTGCTATTGTTCTTTTGCTATACATGATGATAATGAATACAACAAGATAAAAGTTTTGACATGATGAACACAATGAGATAATGAACACAATGACATGATGAATAGAATGAGATAAGGAATACAATGAGATAAAAGTTTTGAAATGATGAATACAAATGTACAATAACATTTCTAGGCTTGCCTACGTGCTACAGGTGCATGAATATAATCATAAAACATCCTTTCTGCGAGCGCATCTCTTTGTTCAGTTGCTTGAGTACGTGCAGCAGTATTTGGCTCAACCCAGTCGGGGTTTAAATTATCACCTAATCTCGTTTCTAACCGTTCTTCCAGCATATACTCCTTGTAGAACTCATCTTCGCCGGACTCGATTCGAATAAGGTTATGTAGTACACAACACACCATTACAATCATAATTTGTATCTTGTATGGATATGAAGGCATTTGAGCTAATATAGGAAACCACATTTTAGACACGCCAAAGATCCGTTCAATTACGATTCGAAGAGCTGAGTGACGATGATTATAAAGCTCCTTTGCCGTTTGTGGTGTTAGACCTGAATGTCTCCACTCCTTGAGGTGGTATCGAACCGAACGATAAGGTGCAAGGAAGCCTGGTACATTGGCGTATCCAGCGTCGGCAAGATAGAAGCGGTCTGGATTGAAATCAATAATCTAGAAAAGAACATCTTGAGGGAGAAAACTTTTGACTTACCCTCAGGTACTTTGAATCTACCTTCCTCAAGAGCTCGACAAAGGACACGGGCATCCGCTTGTGATCCTTCTAAGCCGGCGTAGACAAACGTAAACAACATATTAAAGGAGCACCCCGCAAGGACGTTTTGAGAGAGATCTCCCTTTTGATTTCGATGGGCTGGCTGACGGTCAGGAGGAACAATACAAGGAATGTGGGTGCCATCTATAGCACCCACACACTTCTCAAAGTACGGGTAAAAGCGAGGGTTGTTTTGTATTTCTTTTGGACAAGGTTCATTTCCAGTAGGTTGTACTATATAAATGGATTCAAGGGAAGCAATAGCCTTGCATACATTATTGAAATATTTGCTAATCGTGTGACCGGAACGTTGGAAGCGTTCACCAGCTACTCGATTCAAACCGGAATTGCCGATGATATAAAGAAATATCATGACTTGCTCCTCTACAGTGACACTTCTCTTGCGACAAATGATAATTTTACCTTCAAGGGCTTTGATTAAGCCCTTGAAAGCAAGCTTGTCCATACGACAGAGCTCTCGAAATCGAACATCGCTACCGTTCAAGATTTCTTAAGTGTACTGATTTCCACGTAGTTTGGAAGTTCTACATGGGGTCTTTGGGGCCATGATCGAATCTAGGTAGTCTTTCCCAGCTTTGATGATGTATTTCAAAAGCTTAATTGGGCGTCGAGAGGCTTCAGAAGACGCATCAGAGTCCGACTCCAAAGAGGATGACATGATGGGGACTGTAGTTTGGATTGATATGTATGTAGAGCACCTGATGTAGAGGTCAACAAGCCGAGAATGGCCAAGTTGAGAAGAGAAAGGATGAGTTGAGAATGATTGAGATGAGTTGAGAATGATCGAGATGAAATTGAGATCGATCGAGATGGTCAACGAGTCAAAAATCGATTTCTGATGGTCAACAAGTCGGAAATCGATTTTCGATGGTTAACAAACCAAACACATTTGTCTCTCTCTTTTTGATTGTTTCTCTCTTTTTTCACAAAACGCGAGTTTCAGCGATTTTCAACGCTTTTTTAAAAAAAAGGCTTTTCTACGTGTAGAAAAGCCCTGTCCCTGAATGTGATTTCAAGAAATCACGCTTAAGTGAACGGGCTCTTAAAAATCTATCAAATTAAATTAAAACTCTTGTAGACAATGTTGAGTCTCTTTCAAATAATCAATCAAGTCCCTTTCTTACAAATGAGTTGCCAACTCTAAGCGGTCTTCAGAATATTGTAAATGGTGGTGACTGGTCTGAACAAGATGATAAATTAGTGTCCTCTACTAATCAAGACCCTGGCATGAGGAAACAAAATCAATTTGTTGGGAAAATTAGCGTATCAGCCTCAAACTCCTCTCGTGAAATACATAATGAAGAACAGTCCACCACTTTCAAAGGTTCGAATTTGGATGAAAATATCAAAAGAGTACTTGCTAGTCAAGATATTGTGCTAGATACTCTAGATAAAAGAGTAGATGAATCCTACCAAATTGCAGTAGCTGCGATGGAGTTGGTAAAGAAGCATGATGCCCTGGTGCACCGCTTGGAGAGGACTGAGCAGGACTTGAAAATCGCACAGGATGAATCTACTAGGCAAATTGCGAGCCTTATTCAACACCAAGATCTAATGTCTCGCCAACTGGATACTATAAAACAAGAATATTTCGACTACACCTCAAGCTACAAATAAAGCTTACTCGGCATTAGATCATATGATGAGAACGGTCTCCTCATTATACCAGTGTAACAGGACCAAATCGTAGGTAAGATTTAAGGATCTGTTAAGGGACTTAGGGGAAAAGAAACTTCGCGGACAATAGTGGTGGAAAGACTTAGTGACTATAGGCTGACTTATGATAATTGATAATGGATCAAGTAGAGAAAGGCAGATGACTATATGGGCACAAGGATTCCAAACACGAGTAATTCTAGACTATTGGAACTGGGGATTGAATTACGAGCAAAGAAGTTCTCTATTTATACTACGAATACAAGAATATAACATAGAGAGACAACTAACAACACACTAGGATTGTGAAGTAGGGTTCTCATCAATTATGATGGCGATACGCTAGTACTGCAAAGGTAGGGTTCTCGCCAACTATGGTGAGGACCCGATGAGTTCTTAGTAATTCATCTGATGCTATGTATCTCGACTTTGACTCCTTGCTGGAGGTCTCTAGTCAAGCTGGCAATCTAACTTATGTTAGATGTGATCTCGAGGACACTCGATTAGTTACGACTGTCTAACTAAACGAGTGTTGCTTCTAGTTTTGCTACAATGACGCGTGTAGTCTCTTATAAACTACTCGTGTCTTTAGTCACTTAGGTGAAGTCGCGTCCTTCTTGCAGATCATACAACATTGCTCCTCCTGGCTTCAATGGAGGTGCGTAGCTCAGCACGAACTGTATAGTCGCTAGTCCCGAGAGGCGTAAAATGTCGGACCAGACATTTACAGATAAACTGTGTAATATTTTTTGTCACTTCTTCATAACTCACTTTGAAGTCAGTCTTGCGCAATCCACCATATTCAGCAGATCTATGCATCCATTACGCCTAAACAAAGCCTACGGGAGTCGGAATATTTGCCCACATGCATCATTGGATTGTCCTAGCAGGCGAGTGAAGTTTGACCCACACAAGCCCTGGCTAAATCTTCCTGGCAATGGGGATTCAACTTCTGATAGATATTCAACTCGATCATTTCTCTGGGATTCTGATTCGAGCCTGTCCTCTATCTCTGATCACAAAAAAAATTGGACACATTATTCTGATTCAAGCCTCACCTCACTTTCTGATTCTGACTCTGATTCAAGCTTAGTGTCCGTCCCAGATGATTCAGATCCACAATCTCATTCAGAGTCAATGGATCAAGAGCTCACTTCGCCTCAAATTAAAACCCAATTTCAAATTGATTCTATTGAAAAGAAATACAAGAAACTTAATGATGCCCTAGCGGATGCTTCAGCTTTTAGCAAAGCACACTCGACTTCAAGAACTGCTTATGTCAATGATTTTGATTGACTTGGACTCATACACCACGAACCCCCTCTAACGGGTCCTCAGCCGGGGTCGAGTCACGGTTGAGGACCAGGTTTTTCTTTGGTGGTGACCATCGTTGGCCACACGTGGCCGTTTTACGGTGTTGTAACCCGTGTTTTGCAAGACTGGTGATTCAACCAGTTGTCACTTGCTCGAAACTGGTTGAGGCCATCAACCATCATTGGTCGCAAGGACATGAATGCCTCGATTTATTGACTCAATAAATTTTGTCACTTTGTAATTGTTTAATGAAACACAAACAGAATATAATATTGCAGATGACTTCGTGTTAATTGCTATAATTGAGTCGACTCAAATACATAAAAATCCACATTGAGATTAATGAGAAATCAAAATAAGAGTTGACAATGATATACAAAAAAAAAGACGAGGGAAAAGACTTATGTACAAATGAGCCATTGATAAGAGATAAAATAAGAGATAAAATAAGAGTTAAGAGAGATCAAAGAAGAGTTAAAATAAGAGTTAAAATAAGAAATCAAAGAAGAAATGAAAACATAGACCGAAGTAGTCTGTATGTCATAGAACCATGCATCAAACCTAGACTTCGTGTACATGCAACACCTCGTCTGCTGACTGTTCCGTACCAAAAGTTTGATTCAAATACTCGATTTCTTCTTGAATTTGTGTCTCAGTTGGCATAGAGAAGTCAGTAGATTCCTTCAATTGGGCAAAATTCTTGGTACCATCGATTCGATTGATGTCATTTTGGTCACATAACGTAAAAAACCTGTGAAATTCCCCCAGTAAGTATTTGGAAGGTGGTAGTATTTCAAGGAGATAGTATCACTTACGCGTGACGGTATCGTGTGGATTTAGTGCGTAAGTGTTCCAATTGTTCATCGATGACATCCCACAACAATCGGGAGCCATACTTAAAATTCTTTGTATTACGGTTTAACCCCCAGTGGATTGCTTGCATCCTCTGATAGGCGGACATAGACAGGGGTAAGTTATAAGGTATGAGTTGCACATAGATAAACAACATGGTGAACTGACCAGCCATGCATATCGTGATGATCGAAGGTAGCCTACCTGGTCGAGTACCTCTTTGGTGACTAGAACTTGCCCACTGACACCGTGTTCCTTTTGGTACAGCTGTGCATACGGGGAATACACAGGTTCAGCATGTAACCACATGCCACGATCAAAAGTTACTTACTTTGACAATTATAGTGTCCAGAATTGGTACCGGGGCATCGACACGTGGTGTTTTTCAATCCGGAAGATAGATGTTTTGAAGGAGCTTATGATGGTTGGTCAGATAGGTGGACAAGTCAAGCAGGCATAACGGAATGGCTTACCACAGTTTCAAAATCTTTTCTGACCTCCTTCAATACAGTATTTACCAAGGAATGAAATGCACGGCTGGATTTGTTGTCTGGGTCAACACCATATCGTGGTGGAAGATGTTCCTTCTTCCATTCGGTTGGTTTACCTAAGATGTCAGTCTATTTTGTTAAACAAATTATTAGTTCTTGAAGAAACACTTGAAGACATGGGAAGCGCATTTACCATAACTTTTCCATACAAACAGAAGGGAAGCGGGTCCTCATTGATGAATTTGTTCTCCTTAGCGGTGTATGCCTGAAGATCACCGTCCATGATTTTCTTGAGCGCTGTAGATCGAACAACTGCCTATAGAGATGATGACAATGCATTCAGCAAATGTCAGATTGGTTCAAATGCAAATTGGAAATATTATTTTCCAAATGGGACTTAGCAGACGACTTACTTTGAGTTCAGTGTGCTCTTGTTCTTTCCAAGCACAGCCTCCTCCACGAGGTATTTTGCTTATTTGCCTCTTGATTTCTTCCAGCTGATTTGATAACACTATCATTTCTTGGCGCATCGATAGAGTGGCCACCATGCAGGCATGGAATTGCTCCTCACTACCAGTAACCTGTCAGATACGAAAATCAGTAACAGTTATTAAGGTTTCATTGGTTTGTCTAACTCACGTTACATAGCTTTCGTCCAACTGTGCGAGCATCTTGATCGAGATCCGCCCAAGTAGCAATTCTTTCGAAGGATTGGGATTGAGGTCCGGTCATATGGGAAGAGAAAGCAGTCTGTCTGCTATGGTTGTTCAACATAGTTCGAGACGTGTTCCGGACTGTGACACCTTTGGAGGCTAAGATCACAGAAATCAATATGATCAATTTCGATCTAATTCAAAATCGATGGATAACTTACGATGATTGTCTTCACGTTCATCCTGTTCACTGCTATCACGATCACTGCTTTCTTCGGGTTTATAAGCACTGTGGTCGGTTCCGTTGTTATCATCAGAGCCAGCGTTGAATAATTTTAAATCATTCTGATTGAAAGGTTCTTCGGAGTCTTCCCTCTGTGAATCCTCAGCGGCCTTTTGAGGAGATCCATCATGTCCTTCTAAGTTTTTCTGATTTTCTTCGACAGGATTGGACCTTTGGGAATCGTGAGTTTTGAGGTCTTCCGTTGTTTCACGCTGTTGATGTCTGTTTTGATATCGAGTAGATCTTGAAACCGAGGACCTTGGAGTGTTGCGATGAGTCGAGTGATGAGCTGGAAGACTTGGCTGTGAAGCAATTGGACGTTGGTACGGCTTATATTGTTGAGGACAAGTCGAACCGGGCGAAGGCGAGGATGGTTGGTTTTGTGTGAGTTTCCTTTTTTGAGAACGTGTGGATGCACGAGAGCCTGAAACGCTGGGAGTGTTGTGATTCGAGTGCTGTTGTTGAGGACTGGTTTGCGATTTGGTGGCCCGTTGGTAGGTCTTAGATTGTTGACTGCGAGAAGACATTGGTGACGGGGAAGATGGTTGGTCTTGAGTGTGAGGGAAGATGCGAGGAAACGAAAAGAGAAATGACATGAAGGAAATGGAAGTTGAAGTCGGTGCCCAAAGACAATTTCAAATTATAGGGTCCGGCCCCGCGGTAGAAGGATGTGAACGTTTGAGATTTCCTCACTCAGTCGATGTGGCACAAAAGATGATGTTTTTGAAGAATGCAAGGCATTGGAGAAGTTATAAGATTGGACAAGTATAAGAGAAACTGTGATAAGGTGTGCGCGAAAGGAATGTTATATAATATCAAAGAAGTTCATCGTTCAAAAGGAATATTATTGTTCCTTAAATAATAATGTTGACGATATCGATGAATCTTTCTGATATCTTCAATTTCTCTTGCCCTTTGAACACCGATTGACTTGATATCTTTGCAAGTTAAAGGAGGTACTTGATTTGATATCTTAAAAATTTAAAGGATATCTTATCCTTTGAACGCCCAAAGGATAAGATGTCATCGGATATCTTTTCCTTTGAAGGTGAAAGGATTGTTATTGTCATGCTGATCTTGTGGTGTAACCTTTACCTTTGAAAGTTAAAGGTTATATTTTCTTTTTAACACCGAGATGATCTGAGATGAACTTAATGGAATGCTCATCTTCTTGTAAATAGCAAGTGACCCAATTAGTCGGTGTTTGAAACATTCAAAGGTTATCTTTTAAGTCAAACAAATCTAATATTGGGTTACAGGATATCTTGGCAATATAACGAATTAGATGGTGTTTGAACCATGCATTTTGTATTTATCTTTTAAATAAATAACAAAACGTTTGTTTGAGTGTTTGATTGATTTCTTTGCTCTTGCGAAGATAAAAGATGAAGTTGAAATTGATCATATGTTGCACGATAAAAAACAATTAGACAAAAGTGAGAATAAAGGTTGATTAAAAATATTGTGACTTTGATCAAATTCTTAATCATACATTACAGTCATGAAATAATGTGAGAATTGAAACAAACCCTTGCATTTATGTTTTCAGGTAGAATTGGAAGGGCCAGGTACAGGTTGTCTGCTTGATAAATACCTATCAATAAGCTTGGAGTTGGAAGGTCCAAACTGTGCCGGGTTTTGATTTTGATTGCGTTTCCTTTTCTTGTGTGCAGCAAATTGACCCGTTTGGCTACCTAACAATTTATCTTTTTCTTTTTGCCGCTTCTTTTCTTTTGAATCGTCTTTTTTTTTAACGGCAGCTTCCCAAGTCGCAAGGCCTTTTTCCACAGCCACAACCCAATCATCGGATTGGCTGTCTTCCAATTGTATCCTAGAATACTTACGATGCATCTCCGCTGAATAGAAGGCGCCCGAGTTTAAGATGTGATCCATGGTACTTTCGTGAACAACAGCAAAATCCAACCTTTTCGACACACGTCGTTCAATCATGGTCGGCCTCACTTTCTTAATGTTACATTTGCTTTTATAGCAGTCGTGTTGGACATTGATAACACCTTCTATGTCCTATGTGTCAAATACAAATCACAAGTTAGTGATTCACTTTAAAATCAAAACAGTCAATATCACCAGTTTATGACCCATTTATATCGGTCTTAACTCACCTCAACTTTAATCCAGACATTTGTATCAGTCTGCTGTAGTTCGCGCATTCCATAGTATGAGCTCACCTGACCGATTTGACAATACACTGCCTCAATCATTGTTTGTGAAATAGCACATCCTCCTACACCCCATATTCGTTGAACTCGAGCAATGCTTCCAATTTGATCATTTGAGTTGTTGAAACAAATAAAACAATCCGCTGTTACTTTTTGTTGAGTCGATAAGGTGACATCTTCAAGGACTTTCCAGTCCTCAGCGGAAAAATTGTTGAATATGTGAGTTGGAATGAGATCACCGGGTGCAAGCGGCTGTGAGCGTGATTTCTCTTCCATTGAAAAAATTGCAGAAAAATTGAAATAATTCAATACAACCTGATATTTCCTTTGCAGAGGAAGGAAATATCAGCTTACTTCCAACTTCTAATATAGGTTCCGTGTTCCATGAAGCATTGAAACCTAACGCCTTTTGAAACAGTTTATTATTTCGAAATAGTTCTTGAACTTTTAATCCGGAACGTATGTATGTTTTCAATTTTTGATCATATAACATTGCTCCGCAAGCTAGTGCCCTAATAAGTTTATAACTGTTGAAAGAGTTAGAGATATCTCGTCCTGGACTTAGATGGTTCGAATGAATAGAAGAGCTTCTAGTGATTCTGTTGTAAGATTCAAAGTTCTCCGTTGCAAATAAACAGGCAGGTCCAAATCTTCGAATTGATTCACATAGATGAATCAACATGTGAAACTTTGGCTTATTGCACCATTGTGCCGAAAGCTTCACAATTGAAATCAAAAAACGCTGGATGAGTTTCTCGAGTTCCTTCAAATACAGATCCATGTTAGTAATTTCAGTCTGAAAGAGATATGGTGCCAAGTGAGCCAAAGCCGTCCATGCTTCACGTTCCTCATCTGAAATCTTAGAGTCCATAAAAATAAATGGAGCCGCCTGCAAAACCACACGAAACTCTTTTCCATTCAGGCTTTGAAAATGCTGAATCATGTATTTTGGCTGAATTGGAGGAATATTTAGACCGGAAGTGTCAAAGGACCTCCAGCGCCCCCATAGTTTCTCCTTTTCGGCGGGGCTGCAACCATTCATTTGATGACGCAAAAGGTATTTTGCAATACCTAACAAAATAACGTGTAAAATTTCCACTGGAGTATCAAGATGTCCGTTGAAGCCTGGGAAAAAGAGAGATGTATTTTCAGCTTACAAACAATCTAAATCAAAAGAATGATACACAAAATCACCTTTCAAACGTAGAAATGGGTTAAATAGGCGATCCCCAAACTTTTCATTCAGCTCACGACACATGTCGGCTACATCATCTTTAGATACATTACAATTTTTATGTAGCTCTTGAGCTCGTTTAACAAAGTATGTATTCAAAGAATCTCGTAATCCAAGTGATGCTGAATCTGATTCAAAGTGCGAGATCGGTCCAGGCTGTTGGGCTTTTTTCCAAAGATCCTTAGTACCATTGGCAGTTGCGGTCCAATCACGAGTCGGGAGGGAAATCTAAAGCAAATATACAATCATCAAAGTAAGCAGGAGATCATTTGGGGGACAATGTGTATTACATCATTACTTCTCACCCGTTCTCCAGCCTCATCTATGCCCAGGAAGTTGCATACATACTTGGATGACCGCTTTTCTGTCAAAGATTTGACCTTCAAGTGACAAATCCTACAAGGGGTCAGAGAGGATGTTGGATTCATTGTGTTGGTTACTTCCGCGTGCATAGGAGAGTCTCCTAGATGGCATAGGATCGTAGTCATCACAAAAACTTCTTTTTGCGCTTTGTGATCAAAGGCCACAAAGCCATCTTCAGTCAATTGGCTGAAAGACCTTTTCAGTTTTCCTCATTAACATGTTAGTTATAAAAGAACGTGGTAATCTCACTTCAACTCGTCTATCAAGGGGTCTGCCAATTCTAAGGCACCTGCGGTGTTCGAAGTCGATAAAAAATGACAATTGAATTCTTGATTTGCTAACTTAGGCGGCAGACCGGCTAAAGTGAAATAGAAAGCCAAATGCTTGTTCCATCTCTTGGACACATTACCCGAAAGGTCATCACAGTACAAGACCAAAGGGAGATGTCGAATAATTTGACTATTTGCTTTTATTCGCCAAGGGTTGAGATATGGCACTTCCATAAAATCGTCTCCTTTTTGGGCTTTGACATCAAACCAAATGTTATTACAAAGCAAAATTGCAGAATCAATCCTATCAACTCACAATACATGACGTTGCTACAATAGGATTTCATTAATTGTCCATCAGGCAATTCAATTTGGTCAAACGTCCTCCAGAAAGTTTTGATGTTGATTGTCGAACAAGAAGGTGAATCAAATGCGGAGACAGCATTAAATTCAGTTCTAATTTTAGAATCTCTACCTACTTTGACAAACTTTTGGACCGCATTGACACACTTGGCCAGGACTTCTTTACCAGATTTATAAAAATAGAAAGGAATGATGATTTTTTTTGACTGCAATTGAACCAATTCAAACAAGTAGAAATGATTATCTCCCTGTTCAACCATCTGAACTCTAATATCTTCATCAAGTTCCTCACGCCACTTCTTTGACTGGGAGAGGCGATGAACTTTAGATTGAGCATCGGGAAGCTCCGGTATGAACTCAAGGAAATCGACAACGTATGGGTTTGCCAGTTCCTACAAAGACAGAGATTCATAACACATTAATAACCTGCTTATAGGCGTGAGATATGAGTTATCCTTGCCTGTCTCAAAGTTTCCTTAAGTGTTAAACCAAAGCACGGATTTTCGAGTGGGCTCAGTGTTTCACAAACATTGAAATTAAAACGTTTCTTCAAACGTTGACGATGTTTTTGGACCGTTTTGTATGCCGGAATTTTAGCTCCAAGTAGGCTGATGAAACAGCGCAAACGCTCATAATCTAACAAGGACCTCGTAGTCCTTGTTGACCCAAGAATAAGCGAACCAACAACTTGCTAAATATGATAACAAATGTTGTCAGCAGAAAGAAGATATTTGGAAAATTTCCATTACGGACGTGCCTCAAGATTTGCAAAAGGAGCCCATGACGAATCGTCTTTGTCCTTGTCGTTTTCAAGGGGGTCTTCTTCGTCTGACCCAATTGATTCATCCTTTTCTGAATCGGAATGATGTGTATGATCTAAAGCATCATTGATAGAAGTATTGGTGTCACTATTGATGCTTAACGCTGGTGAGCAAAAGAGAGCGGATAAGTCTTTGGTCCACGAGTCTAATAGCCTTTTTCGACGATCTTCTAAGATCTCGTGATCTGGTTCCACATCAGCGAAATCGGGATTGTACGCTGGAAACTGATTATGATCATCCGGACTTGGTGGATCAGGTTCTACTTCCGGTGCCTCCGTTGTTGATAAATCGACTTGTCTCGCTGCTTCTTGTTCCAGCCATATCTTGTGAAACTTCCGATGATTAGCGGATCTGTTATGTTTTGCAATCGCATTGGATACCATCGGTCGACTGAGGGGACAAGCAACGCAAGTAAAAGATGAGGTTGTGCCTTCGATTGTCTCGTGATAACCTTGAATTATCACTGCATCAGTCATCTCGTTTGTCATCACATTGAGACAGTATAAATGGTTCACATTCATCAAGCCCATTAGTTGGGTCCATAATATTGTTGATGATGTCGATTAAGGTTGTTTGGCTTTGATGTGAAGGCCGTGGATTTGTGAGCAATCCTCCTTTTAAGAAAGGGAAAAAATTAAAAATCGAGTATAATGATGAGATTGATGGCTCCTTGAAAAATGCCAAGGGTATGCCTTCCTTCGATGGTTTGAAGGGAAATGCTTCAATATAACATCTTCCTTCATTTAATTGAAGGGAAAATCCCATTCCGGATAGGAGATCATTATCGATCTTTCAACCGTTGGGGATGAGGTTTCCCTGCGGTGATCTGTGTTAAGATGCAAAACGGGTGACAGTGACCTCGTTATTGCGCGCGGTGACTTTTAATACAGTTGTTCAACCACTTAGCCAATGGTTGAACAACTGTATCGGGCTTCACTGCGTGGAGACCGGATCAAAACCCGAGAGGCCGACTTTAAAACGCTGGGCTGTCACCGGTTTGTCTCCCAAACTTCCTGACACCGGGTCTCTAACGAAAACAGGCTTCGTGGTGTACGCAAGTTCAACAATTTTCGACACAAACTCGAACTCACAAACTCAAAGTCTTGCACCATGCAAGCATCTTTCAACACTGTAGCTTCTTATCGACTTCGCCAAGAGGATCCCCAACAGATGGAAGTGGAGCACGTCTTGCAGCTAGAATCCATTCTGAGGCATCTCATATCATCCTTCACCGACATCTCCCAATCAGTCGCCGAGGATTGAATTCTCCTCATCCTTCGATTTTAGATGATGTAGAAGTGCGTAAGACAATTGCTGAGTGGATTGCTGATCAGCCAGTCGGAAAAGTATTCTTTTTAATCAATTTTTGATAATTTACTATTGAATCCTTCCCTGACTCAACTGTGTTTTAATTTTTCCTTTCTTCAGGTTTCACCAGCTCGACTAGCTCACTATGTGAGCACTGAGGTTCTGCCAAACTATAAGCAACATCCAAATTCAATCTTGGTCCCAACTGTCAACAAATGGATGCATCGGATGGGATGGCATGTTCAAGAGTATAAGCGGTGTTTGTATTATGATGGACATGAACGTGCTGATGTTGTGATTTATCGAGAGAAGTATATCAAAGAAATCATTGAACTATGTAGAAATGAAAATCATTTTGAAGGAGATATTTTGGATCAGATAGTATGTGCAGAGCTTGAAGATGGTTCTCGCGAAATCATTTGTGTCTATCATGACAAATCAACGATACACACAAATGAACAACCTCGATATGGTTGGATGACTGATAAGGACTGTGCTCTCCAAACAAAAAGTGTTGGGAAATTAATTCACATCTCCGACTTTATCTGCCTTTCGACAGGCCGAATCGTTCTAACAGCCAACACAGACTCTACCCTGCCGTTTAACAATGCTGCAGTGACGATCTACCCAGGTGCTAGAGGGGAAGGGTGGTGGGACTGCAATCAGCTCATCAAACAAATTGTAACTCGAGTGATTCCGATTTTCAACCGCAATCACCCAAAGGCCCAAGCCTGTTTCATCTTCGATTGCTCAGCTGCGCATGAGTCATTTGCCCTGGATGCGCTTCAGCTCTCAAAGATGAACTTTAAGCCGGGTGGTTCAAAACCAAAGCTTTGAAACACCACAATTCCTTCTGACAATCCTAAAATTCTGGTCGAGCTTCGTGGAAAGGTTCAAGAAATGAACTTTCCATCTGATTATGTTGACCCCACTCCACCAAAAAAGCTGAAAGGTGGGAAATTAGCTGAGAAAGAAGATCTTACTGGCAAGCCAAAAGGAATAAGGCAAGTCCTCATCGAGCGTGGACTATGGAATCATTACAACAGTATAAGAGCTTCAAGGGGTGAAAAGGAGATGACTTTCAAGTGTATCGAGTGCAAGAAGACTGGCCGAGCAAAAGATCAAATCGCTCGAGCTGAACGCCTCCTTAAACACGCTAAATTTCCTCTCGAGGAAGATCGATCAACCCCTAAGGAAGCTTTACCAGACGCTGATGTTCCAGGATGTTGTGCTTACAAGGTCTTGTCAACACAATCAGAGTTTGCCGATGAGAAGCCCTTGCTTCAGAGGGTTATTGAGGATGCAGGTCACATCTGTAAATTCCTACCTAAGTTTCACTGTGAACTCAATCCCATCGAGCTTCTTTGGTGCTACATCAAGACAGGTCAGTTCTCTCAATTTGTGCTCTCTTTTTTTATTGATATCGGCTGACAAGGACTAAATATAGGCTACCGAGACCATAGCTTCGAATGCAAAAGTCTGCAAGATGCAAAAGACTTATTTGAAAGGATCAAGAAAACCTGTCCTCTGGATTATATCCGACGCTTTTTTCGCCATGCTGATGGAAAGATGTACAAGCTCCTGTAAGTCAGTCTTTTCATATTTTTTGACCCTATTGTCTGATTATGCTTCTTTTGGTGTTGATAGGGAGGCTATGAAAGCCCAGCCTGGCCCTAATCTAAATGCTAAGCTTTACACATCTCACCAAGAAGTTCCGCGCAACTCGGCAACTGACGCAAACCTGAATTCATGATTTTTTAACCTTTTTTTTGTATTTTCATCAAACGTTGATGGTTTTTGTTTCTTTCTGCTCTGAAGACTCGGCATACTCTCAAGCAACAAACTCATGCTTTTGTCCTTATGTTTGCTCAAAGATTACACTTCTAACGAGTCAATTTGTATCACTGTAAAAACTAAGTAAAACAAGAATTCAGAATTCATAATTTTTTGATCGCAGATCTGGATTGCCACGAGCTCCAGGATTCTAACAGTGCTCTCGGCACCCAGATTTGATTACTTTTGAGACTCGGCATCAATTTGCCGAAAAAATACTCGTTGGTCTCACATTTTACGCGTCTTGGGACTAGCGACTATACCTAATCTGTAGTGTCTACTATGACTGTACATGTTTGGCCCGAGTGGTAACTCGGGGCTCTTGACCTATGTACAGGCTGCAATACCATACTTGTATTACAGCCCTGCTACAAGATGATTTGGAGATGAAGTATGGCTTAATGCATTTGTGATTGTGAGGTGTATCTGTATCATGGGTTATGAAAGGGCAGTTTTCAAACATCTTGGAACCCCAGGCTTTCCTAACTTAACTAAGTCCCTCTTGGACCAGCGAGTAGTTGAGAGAGGGACTTATGTCTTATACCCAAATTTTGGTGTGTGAGCCAAAAATCTTTGGCTGGTGACTTTTTCAAACCCCCATATCTCTGTCCCCTACAAATAAATATCCTCTGGACCAAAGAGAAGTCCTGTGCACCTGCTCAACCTACACACCTGAATGTGTCTCACTCCTTATCTGGCCCATTTATTGTAGAGTAATGAGAGGGTAGAGACTAGAAAAAACACTACAATACCTGAGAAAGCTGTTCAACGTGTCAAAAACTCACACCAGGCAAGCTGGATTGTTACACAAAAATCAATTTTTCAAGTCTGGTTTTCAGAACTTTCTGAAACCCAAGTAATAAATTTAAAAGACCCAATATGTGTAGGTTGAGCAGGCGCACAAGGCCTTTCTTAGCTCCAGAGGATATTTATTTGCAGGGGACAGAGCTATTCAGGGTTGAAAAAGTCCCCAGCCAAAAAAAATTGGCTCACACACCAAATTTCATGTATAAGCCATAAGTCCCTCTCTCGACTACTCGCTCTTCCGAGAGGGACTTAGTTAAGTTAGAGGCTTTCACTCTTTTCTCATCTGACATCTCAAGGACAGAGCACACAAACAGGAGTTATATGTACATAACAACATGTATTACCTTTGTGAGAAAGGTTGACCGCTTGAGAAGTCTACAGGATCAGGTTGTGGGCGCGCTGTTAATTTTGTAGGTGCGCCAAGGCGTGTTTTTGTGTGATTTTTCGCGCCGAGGCGCCACTTGGCACGCCCGGCGCGTTTTCTTACAAATAAAATTGCCAACAACGGAAATGGTGTTTGTACAATGTCATTTAGTCTACGTTTGTATTGCTAGAGCCATCTACCACAATAAACTTACCTTTTGGAGGTGAGAAAAGCTAAAAAGAGCTGTCTTCAAAGCTCGCAGCAAGGTTCCAGGTCTCCGATATTGGTGACAGGACGTGGAACACCAAAGATCCGGTGCATTGTTTGGTAAGGCGCGCCAACCTCAATTTTGGGGATTTCTTTGACGCCTAGGCGCACCAAAGCGCGTTTTTTGTGCCGCGCCCACAACCTGACTACAGGACCAGATTTGCTGTGCAGTGCCTCCATAGCAAGCTGTGAAACCTCACTTCCAGCACCAACCGTTTGATTTCCCACCACATCCTCTTTTGGACCCCACCTGACCCCACATCCAATCCTCACCGATCTTGACCCATTTCAATCTTTTGATTTCAATCAATCAGCAAATATTAAAACACTCACAATCTGTCTCAAGCTTCAAAGTTTTTTGGCCTGACAGGTTTGGTTTTCATGGGTTTTTTAAGAATGGAGATTGGATAAGGAAAAAACAAAACCTGGTTTCCCATTTTATTCATTGGCTCTATTGTTGGGATTATGAAGCTTTTCTCAATCTCAATTTTGTCTAGGATTTTGTATCATATTTTGAAATTGTTGGAGACAAATTCAATGTTGATATACCCATACAATCCAAATCCAAATCATTCCAAATCATTCAAATCAGAGACATTGATTTTTCATCTATAACAAAACGGACAAATTGTAAGAAATAAAAAGTACAAAAAACAAAAAAGAGAACAATAAATATGAAATCTATGAGAAAACCTTTGTCTCTAAAACACAACATTAAATTTATCTAAATATTCCAAGCTTTCTAAAATAACCAATTCAGATGTTTCTACAATTTCACCAGCTAAAAACATTTCATCTAAAAGTAAATAAACTCTATGAAATTGAAAAACTACAAATTCTCAAACATTCCCAAAACATGCGTCTGTTTTGATCCCCCTGGCCCCAAAGGAAGAAGTTGAGAAATCAGCTTCAGATCAAAAGAAAAAAACAAAGAAACAGATAGGAAAAGAAAAGCAAGAAGAAAAAGAAAGAAAAATAGTTAATAAACCTACTTCTTCAAAGAACAGATGAATGGATTCAAGTGTTTTGATATTTGCTGATTGATTGAAATTGAAAGATTGAAATGGGTTGAGATTGGTGAGGATTGGATGTGGGGTCAGGTGGGGTCAGAAAGAGGATGTGGTGGGAAATCAAACGGTTGGTGCTGGAAGTGAGGTTTCACAGCTTGCTACAACGGCACTGCCAGCAAATCTGGTCCTGTAGACTTCTCGAGTGGTCAACCTTTCTCGCAAAGGTAATATGTATTTCATGTGTTATTTCAATTGGATTGGTCCTATGTATGTAAACCCAAAAACTATTTTTCAAAGAGCTTTTAGGTTTTTTGGGGACGCCTCCTAGCCAGAGCTAGGGGGTAGGTCAACTAGGCCTTGCAGACAAGACCAGGTTGTCAGCACCTCCATATGTTAGGACCACTCCCTGAGCCAGGCTCTCAAATCATTGTGGATGCAGATCACAATGGGTGTGTTTGGCAACAGGTACATCAAGTCAATTTTTCATTTGTTTGCTTGAAGTTGCAGAAGCCAGCAAGTGTTCAACAAAGCCTCCCACTATTCATCCTGATATAAAGCTGGTGGGCCTTTGACTTCCAGCAACCAATCACCACAATTTCATCAGGTGGAAACCCAAGATTACAACCCAAGGAAGTGCCACCAACCTGGAACAAGTGACTAGTGAGCTTGGTCTTTGTCACAGAGGCCCACACGTCAGAGAATATCACCTGACATTTAGATTCTGTAAGGATATGTTGAGTGGTTTTGATAAGGTACAGGAACAAGGTGTTGTCCTCAGTGGATTGAGTGCACTTGATAAGGAGGCGGCCTGCTTTCACAGGATCCAATGAGAATTTCTGTTTATGGAGATGAGTTTTCTGAACTTCACCAAGCACCACTGTCTTTGTGTTGTTGATTTGGATTGCTAAGTACTTGCTGTTGGGATCCCAAATAAAGTCCTTTAGTCACACTTGGTTGACAGAGTTTGGACATTTCAATAGCTCCCCAAGATGAGACATTCCCCAAAAGGCAATAAGAGCAATGCTATACACTGTTTACTCTTCTATAAAGTACCATTGATAAGATGCTCCAGGAGAATAAACAAATGTCAGACTCAAACTATCATCAGTTCTGTGAAAACCTTCTCTTTTCCCTCCAGGTTAGCAGCTTCACCCTTGTCAGAATCAATTTGACTCTAGATGTAATGCAGTGCAGATGAATGTCATGGTAAAGATGTGTTACTTTATCACCAATATATAGGTCCTGTTGGTACTCAATTTTACAGGGGACAGATTGTTTTCAGAAGAGTCCCCGGGCAGGTTCAGACCTGCCCACACTACAAATTGACACAAGATCTGTGGATCTATTGGTAGGAGTTCCAACCAAGGAATTGTAAAGGGATAGCAGATGAAACCAGCTTTGACACTCAAGAATCATAATGTTTTGAGATAGCCAGTGTCTAACTGCCAAGAGAAATGTAAGCTGTCACTTACTCCTTTCAATAATTCCATGATTAGGATTGACATATGATGAATTACAGAAACAGAATATAGGTCTTTTTGAACACTTCTCTGACTCACAGGATTCTGAGAGCAGTAAGGAAAAAAGTAAGGGTAACTTCAATTTATGTTTTAATCTTAATTGGTCTTTTGGATTAGAGAGTGAGGCTCAAAAACTAAAGAGTCAATGCTGAAATGCTTGAGTAAGTACAGGAATCAAATCTAGCAGCATACCAATCACAACAATTCTCCCAATTGGCAGGATCTTCCTGATTGCTCTAGCCAGTTTGTTAGCATCATTGTTAGCCAAGGTGACTCTCTTGGCAACAATATGACACCAACAATATGACACCAACAATCAACCAGAAGAAAACATATCTTCTTCCTCTGATCCTTTACAGCCTGATCTCAAAATCTGTGCTTCAGTCCCACACACTCCATGGTTGTGTTGTTGGTAAGCACCTTGAATTTTGTTTGTTTCACATCATACTACTAACCACATTCATTCCAGATAAACTACAATTTTTTTGGCCCAGACAATCCCAACCTTCTCTGATACTCTAAGGTGGCCTTGCCAACCGGTCTTCCATTTAAGTTGTGCCCATATTTTGCCCACAAGAATGCCCATACCAAACAAGATAGCTGCATCTCCTACCCACTTGAAATCCAAACAATCAATGATTGGGATAAACCTCCAACAATTGGAAGGGTCTGAATTCTTGTTCCACTTCAACAGGTTGATCTTCACATCTTTGGGGATAGGTTGTTTAGCAGACAGGGCTCTCCACTCCAAAGTAACACTGCATGTTAGGCACAATGTAAGTTGTATGGACCAGTGGTCCCAAAAACCTACTGGTTTTTTTTGTGGTTTCTCTGCTGTGAAACCTTGTGAGAAAATTTTGGACCAAATAGTGCAGCAGTTGTGCTGCTCTTGGTAGCGCATGCTGTGCAGAACTATAGCAACCTGCATAATTTTGCAGCATTTTGCAGTGATTCCGGTGGTGGTTGGATTATCATAGTTCTGGTTTTGAGGGTGCATTTTTCATTCACACAATCTGCCAGACTTACAATCTATCCATCTTGGTATTGATGGGTGGCATAGCTCTTAATCAATAAATGAAGACATGAAAATCCTGCCTTGTCTATCCCTTGATCTGAGCCCCACCAAAAGAAGACAGCTCAATGAGTATCATCAGTGTGAAAGTGAGAGATATCAAAAAATAAAATGGCAATCAATGGATTGAATACAAGGCCTTGATGTTTTATCCAATTTATCAATGGTGTAAGCCTTCTATGTTCAATCAATGTTAGACAAGAATGATCTTCCAAATTCAATGGTTTTGCTTGTAATTCTAGATCAGTATGTTGTTGTAACTTAACAAAAGCCCATTGCAACAGCCGGGACTCAATTCTTTCATGTTATCAGGTCTAAAATCTGAGAATATGATATCTGGGACCTTTTATACACTTTGATCTATTGTGGTCTGAATGCCAATGAGGAGGAGACGAAAGACGGGTTACAAATACGATTGGACAGAAACGAGTAACACGAAACGTGTCACAAGCGTTGTTAGGCTAGCGGTAAACTGGGGCCTTGCCATAGTGTGAGTGGCCTCGTCAGGGGTTCGACTCCCCTACAACGCACTGTTTTTGTCATCCCAGCTGCCCCCATGATCAGGTCGGTGTAAACAAAGGGGAGATATCGTCACATACGAGGGACTGGGCTAAAACCTTTTGTTAAAATTGACAACCAAAACCCACCCTACAGGCTGGCTAGCAGTCTAACATGTAAAAAATGTAAAAAAAAATTAAACAACCCAATGTTAAAACTACAGCCAATGTAAGAACTAATGGCAGTTTTTCGAGAAAGTGTGTTGTCGCCAGATTTTTCTCTCAAAGTCCAAAACTCAAAAAATTTTGCACTTTCAGACTGAACTATACTGTCCTTGATGAATGGTCGGACCAACCCTGTGCCAGCAACGCAACGCACCGCAACACGAGTGTTTTTTGGTGCGTTGCTCCGCAACACGCAGCACAAACCTGCATTACATGCTGCGCTGCGGTAAGTACCGCAACAACAAATGGTGAGGTCAGGTTGCGCGGCGCCTTGACCGCCGCGCAACGCAACAGGCGCAACAGCGCCAAAAAAACGCCGAACTGTGATTTTTTTTGGGCAGCAACGCAACAAATGTTGTTGCGGCCCAAAAAATCCATCGATTTGACAAATGATGTTGCGCTGCGGGTCAGGCCGCAACCTAGAATTTGATTCTATGTTGCGCTGCGGTCAGAAAAACCGCAACGCAGGCGCAGCGCAACACGCAACACCTGCGTTGCTGGCCCAGGGTTGGTCGGACAGACAAGTTCAGCATTTCCTTGATTTCCATCTCATACGTCTTTGTAATCTCCCTCACTCGTCTCTCAATTCCGGCTATCCATCTCCCCAACGAATGGCCGGAAAAACACTTCTCCAACGACCAATCATGTCACTCAATAGGAAAGCACCCTACACCTCCAACCTGCTTCATCAAATTGCCACGATCTTTCATTCTGATCTCATTGATTCTGTTTTCACAATTTGCATATTATCTACCAAATCGTCACTATCCATAAATTATCAGTAGTCTCAATTTTCCCCGTTTATTCATTACAAAATCTCCATCCAACTTCTTCCGTTCAATGTTTGTCATATTCATCCTATTTCACTCGATCCTATGTTAATCTGAATTTTTACCGTTTTCCAAAATGTCCAACTCTCCATTGACGGCGCCGGCTACGACCACCTCGACTGGCTACATGAACTCTTGTGAGTGCATCCTTAACACAACCTTTCTCAACATTTCAACTGATTCCTTTTCTATTTTCAGTGTTTGAATTGCCTGATCAAAGAGTGGGAGATGATAGGCAAGCAACCTGTAACCAACAAGATCCTTTTGTCCGACGTGCTCAACTGGAAGGAGTTGGGAAGTTGCTGGAGTTCTACTTTTCCCCAACTCACGTCAAAGGCAAGGTAAGATACTTCATTCTCTTTTGATTCACATGATTTGTTTGAATTTTTCTCCTGGTTAATCTTCTTTATTTTGTTTTGATCTCTCAACAATTGTTTGAAGTCTGGGAACAACCCCCAAAGCTTCAAGTGCCACTGGTGTAAGGGGACTTTTATTTGAGGAGCGCGTAGCCACTACAACTTGTATGCTCATTGAGACGGAGCTAAAGGTAGATCTGTGTGTCCCCAACATGCTTGTGTGATTCAATCCGGACTCAAGCTGCCCAACTCTTGGGCTCAAGACCAAGCTGAGAACGCTCAACTCCTGACCAAAGCCAATGGCCAGGACACTCTTGATGCTTTCCTCTCACAGCCCACCTTCAGTGTAGAACTATGCAACATATTTCTAGTCATCTGGATTCTATGGAATGCTCTCCCATTTAATCGCTTCTATGACTGTCCTCTTTGTGTGGCATTCAAGCTATCCAACAGGCGAGCCAACTTAAGGAGCCCAACTTGGGCTGCTGGGATTTCAAAGGAGCTCTATGTTGACTTAAGCTTGGCAGTGATTGACTTAGTAGTGGTAAGTTTTGATGACACTTTGTCTTTCTTAAAGCGGTTGAATCCAAATCTGAATATAGACTCAAGAAAGTTTTCCCTGGTCCACAATGTTTGGACTACAAAGGGTAATTGTTATGCCTTCATTGGAGTCTCGTCAAACTCCATCAACAACAATTGGAAGTACTGCTCAATTCACCTCACTCTCAAGTTGGTAGCAT